CCTCTCACCGTGCAAGCTTGAATGGCGCTGAAGCAAGCCCGACAGTCTCTGAAGCCAAACCTTTCAGTGCTGATGAGGGGACCTCGACTAGTGTCGGATATTTCAATGACGACAGCCACCTACGTAGTCCTTCGGCGTTGTCGGGCCGGCCAGATCATGAAGAAATTCCCACCAGCGGACCTCAGCGACTCAATGTCTTGTAATATGATGCTTGATTTCCTTTTCTGGATATAATAATCCATTATCTTTCTGCATATCGCACATGCCCTTTGGTGCGGTGATATTTGCATTGCCACGATTCCATGAATTATCGAATGTTTTATAGTTCTAGATGTTAATATCAATCAATCGTAATCTGATGGAGACCTTAAATTTCAATCTGGTTCAAATCTTATAGACAGGACACTAGAGAGATCCATGATTAATAGTAATCCTTTTTAGTCCCATTGGGCCGAAATCTCCCGTAAGAAGAGCCCGAGTACTTAGCCGGCTGCGGAGAAAAGTGGCTGATTGGGGCGCCTCTTAGTGTCTGTCCCCGGGCATCGGCTGTAAGTCGGGCTGAGTCAGCACACCAGCCTCACTGCCGTGAGATCCGTCATTCTCGGCAGCTCTTCCAAGGTTTCTTTTGCGCTCTTCTTTCGCTTCATCTTTCCACTCCCCACACTTTGTTTTCTTATCTAGAGCGTTGAGCTCTCTGATGAGTCCCGATTCTATACAGGTGCTACGGCAATACTAGTCGACACCTGCTCTGTGATTTAATTCGTACGTGTACTTACGCCTCTTCCTTTCCCCCGTATTCCGGTTTGCTTGCTGCAGAACAACCTGGCAATATTAGGCTGACACTATAGCATACAGTAAATCTGACTATTTGACGTCTGATTTGGCCAGAATCCCGAACGGTTGTCTTCCGATTCCCCTTTCTTCTAGACCGAAAACTTTACTAGACCTTGATCCAAGAAAAATCCCGCAATGTTCAGAAACACTGCTTTGAAGGCCACCAACAGCGGCATGCTGCGTGGTGCGACCTCCTCGTCATGCCGGCGCTCATTCCACCTCGCTACGAGTGCTCGCAGCGCTTCAAAAAGCTCCGGCTTCAGCATGACCGCCCGTCGGCCTCTTGCTGTTGTCGACCGTGCTTTCAACGGTGCCCGGTCCTACGCGGCTCCTGCCGAGGGCCAAATCCAAGGAGTGGTAAGCAAGAACAACCTTCATGATCGGTAGAGATCCGATCCGGGTTCCCGATAAATGAAATAAATAAACGGGGCATTCGACTAATGCGACGGCGCGTTTTCGCCCTCACGTGGACAGGACCCCAACGATTCTTTCCTCACTGGAAGCACTGCCAACTACATCGATGAGATGTACATGGCATGGAAGAATGATCCCTCGAGTGTTCACATCTCATGGCAGACTTACTTCAAGAACATGGAGGAGGGCAAAATGCCTATATCCCAGGCCTTCACCCCTCCCCCTACTCTCGTCCCCACCCCCACCGGCGGTGTCCCCCAGGACATGCCCGGTCAGGGACTTGCAGGTGGCGCCGACGTGACGAACCACTTGAAGGTTCAGTTGCTTTGCCGCGCCTACCAGGCCCGTGGTCACCACAAGGCCAAGATTGATCCCCTCGGCATTCGCGGAGAGGCCGAGGCCTTTGGCTACGACAAGCCCAAGGAGCTCGAGTTGGACCACTACGGTTTCACCGAGAGGGACTTGGACCAGGAGTTCGCCCTTGGACCCGGTATCTTGCCCCGTTTCATCACCGAGTCCCGCAAGAAGATGACTCTGCGCGAGATCATTGGCGCCTGTGAGAGGATCTACTGTGGTTCTTACGGCGTTGAGTACATTCACATCCCCGATCGTAAGCCCTGCGAGTGGATCCGTGATCGCTTCGAGATCCCTCAACCTTACAACTACTCGGTTGACGACAAGCGCCGCATCCTCGACCGTCTGATCTGGTCTTCCAGCTTTGAGTCCTTCCTCGCTACCAAGTTCCCCAACGATAAGCGTTTCGGTCTGGAAGGTTGCGAGACCCTGGTCCCCGGTATGAAGGCTCTGATTGATCGTAGCGTCGACTACGGCATTAAGGACATCGTCATTGGTATGCCTCACCGTGGTCGTCTTAATGTTCTGTCCAACGTTGTCCGCAAGCCCAACGAGTCCATTTTCAGTGAGTTTTCCGGTTCTGCTGAGCCTTCCGATGAGGGATCCGGCGATGTGAAGTACCACTTGGGTATGAACTTTGAGCGTCCTACCCCCTCCGGTAAGCGGGTGCAGCTGTCTCTGGTTGCCAACCCCTCTCACCTTGAGGCCGAGGACCCCGTTGTTCTTGGAAAGACTCGTGCCATCCAGCACTACAACAACGACGAGACCAACTACGACTCCGCCATGGGTGTTCTGCTCCATGGTGACGCCGCCTTTGCTGGTCAGGGTGTTGTCTACGAGACCATGGGCTTCCACTCCCTCCCAGCCTACTCGACCGGTGGTACCATCCACCTTGTCGTGAACAACCAGATTGGTTTCACCACTGATCCTCGTTACTCCCGGTCTACCCCCTATTGTTCCGACATTGCCAAGTCCATCGACGCTCCCGTCTTCCACGTGAACGCCGACGATGTCGAGGCTGTCAACTATGTCTGCCAGATCGCTGCTGACTGGCGCGCGGAGTTCAAGCGTGACGTTGTCATTGACATGGTCTGCTACCGCAAGCAGGGCCACAACGAGACTGATCAGCCTTCGTTCACCCAGCCCCTGATGTACAAGCGCATTGCCGAGCAAAAGTCCCAGCTCGACAAGTACGTCGAAAAGCTGATTGCGGAGGGTACCTTCACCAAGGAGGACATTGATGAGCACAAGAAGTGGGTCTGGGGAATGCTCGGCGACAGCTTCGATCGCAGCAAGGACTACCAGCCCACAGGCAAGGAGTGGTTGACTTCTGCCTGGAACAACTTCAAGTCTCCCAAGGAGCTGGCCAATGAGGTCCTGCCTCACCTGCCCACCGCCGTTGAGGACAAGTCTTTGAAGCACATTGCTGACAAGATCTCCGGTACCGGTGTTCCGGAAGGCTTCGAGCTTCACCGCAACCTCAAGCGTATCTTGAGTGGACGCAAGAAGGCAGTTGATGAGGGCAAGAACATCGATTGGGCCACCGCCGAAGCTCTCGCTTTCGGTTCGCTCGTTGACGAGGGCTACCATGTCCGTGTTTCCGGCCAGGATGTTGAGCGTGGTACTTTCTCCCAGCGCCACGCCGTCTTGCACGACCAGCAGACCGAGCGCACTTACACCCCTCTGAAGCACATCAGCGAAAAGCAGGGCAGCTTCGTCATCTCTAACTCCTCCCTGAGTGAGTTCGGCTGGTAAGTCTTCCAATCCTTATTAAAACAACCACCCCGCGTGACAACGATACTAACATACAATCTAGTCTCGGTTTCGAGTACGGTTACTCTCTGACCTCCCCGAACGCCCTTGTCATGTGGGAGGCCCAGTTCGGTGATTTCGCTAACAACGCTCAATGTATCATTGATCAGTTCATCGCCTCCGGTGAATCCAAGTGGCTGCAGCGTTCCGGTCTGGTTGTGTCTCTGCCTCACGGCTATGACGGCCAGGGTCCTGAGCACTCTTCCGGACGTATGGAGCGTTGGCTCCAGCTTTGCAACGAGGAGCCCCGCATGTTCCCCTCGGCTGACAAGTTGGACCGTCAGCACCAGGACTGCAACATGCAGATTGCCTGCATGACCACCCCTGCCAACCTGTTCCACATCCTCCGTCGCCAGATCCACCGTCAGTTCCGCAAGCCTCTGGTCATCTTCTTCTCTAAGTCTCTGCTGCGTCACCCTCTTGCCCGCTCTGACATCGAGGAACTGGACGGCGACTCCCACTTCCAGTGGATCATCCCCGATCAAGGTCATGGCACCGCTATCGATGCCCCCGAGAAGATCGAGCGTGTTATCCTGTGCTCTGGACAGGTGTACGCTGCCTTGGTCAAGCACCGCGAGGCCAACGGTATCCGCAACACTGCCATCACCCGTATCGAGCAGCTGCACCCCTTCCCTTGGGCCCAGCTGAAGGAAAACCTGGACAGCTACCCCAACGCTAAGAACATCGTCTGGGCTCAGGAGGAGCCTCTTAACGCCGGTGCTTGGTCCTACGCTCAACCCCGTATCGAGAGCCTGCTGAACGCTACCGAGCACCACCACCGCCGCCATGTTCTGTACGCTGGTCGCGCCGGCAGCGCTTCCGTCGCTACTGGTCTCAAGGCCGTCCACCTCAAGGAGGAGCAGGAGCTTCTGGAGGATGCTTTCTCCGTTCACCAGGATCACCTTAAGGGCGAGTAAACGCCTTCCCAGTGATTTGACTTGACTACTGTTGATGAGATACTTGGGATCTTGCACTGGCACTAGCATTCAGTTGAGTGTCGTATATTCATTGGTCTTCCTAGAACCTAGCGTGTATTTCCTTGTTGTACTACCTCCTTTATTGTACTGGTTTCCTTTGTGTTATCGATGTGTCCCTAGGTTTAGTTGAAGGCTATGCTAGGACTGTTGGATGTCCTAATCTAAGGTCCTCGTCTATACCTAGATTTCATGCTATATGTAAAATACAAAGAATCATTGACTTTCGAAGATTTCTCCTTGTATTTTTTGTGTATTCCGTTTTAATACCCGATTATTCCCTATTATGTATTGTATTAATTCCAGGTTATTCATGATATGACATCACCCGCGTGTTCGGATGATTCAGCAACGGATGCCTGACGGGTGCCGCAGGCAGCAATCTCACCTGATTTGATTGCTCTTCTCCGCACTCAAACTTCGCAGCAGCAGCGTTTTCTGCATCGATGCCCTCCTGCTGTTACGCGTGGTGTCGACTATTATAAATGGTCCTAGATCATTGCCGAACACCATTGGTTCCTCAAAACTCACTACTTCCTCCTCAAATTGGGGTAAGCTCACCTCGACCCTCCTCCAACAGCGCAGCTCCCAGTCCCGACTCTGCCCTTCAACATGTCTACCGTCTCATCGTCAGTCAATAATCCGTCGGGCCAAGGAATACGACATTCCGCCCGCCAGACACGTACAAATCCGTCTCGGACCTCCAAAACCATCGGACGGTCATCCTTCGCGTTTGGCCAAGGCTCGACAAATGAAATCCCTCCAACATCCCCTGTTCCTCACGGCTTCTATCCTGCGCTTACGCATTTTACCGATGCTATCACAGCGCTTCCGCGCGAGTTCCGTCGCCACAATTCTCTTCTCAAGGAAGTTGATGCGAAAGCGTGGGCCCTCGAGGAAAATTTGCTACAGTTACTCCAGTTCTCCTCCCAATCGCACCCCGTTCCTCATCCTCCTCACCCGGCGCCTATTGTCGGGGGTGTAATTCGGGAGGATGTCTTGCCCAAGGTGAGTTTTCTTCGCGACCTGTCTAATCTGCTACTTTGGGCGTTTACTGATGGCCTCTCTCTGGCGCTAGGATCTATCCCAACCAGCGGAATCGCCCGATAGCCAAAGCCGCCGGCTTCTCTTTGATCGTGTTCGTCAAAGCCTCTCAGATCTGATGATGACCGCCGATGAGAAGAATCACGTCATTTCAAATGCGAACGAGGAACTAGATCGTCAAGTTGTCCGACTGGATACAGTGTTCCCATACATTGCAGGCGAGATCAGCGAGGAGGCTCGGCTAGGCAGCCTGACACACTGGGCGTATTCAAATAAGAGTACCGCAAAGGCAGCGACCAACGAACGCCCGCGCCGAGAAGCAGTAGCGCAAAGGCAGGATCTATCGCACGTACTTCAAGAGGCTGAAGCTGCTAGTCGCAGTGAGGCGCGACGCGATGCCGTTTTGGCACGGAAGCAACGTCGGGCACAGGCCGATGCGGATTACGAGGATACGCGCAGCTCGGGCGCCCGCAAGACCAATAGCGGGAAATCTCGAGGGGGAGATCACGCGGCTGACCCGAGCGTACCCAAGCGTCGCAAGGTGGAACGACCATTACCGGTAGACACTAGTGTACCGATGGAACGCTCTGCTAGCGGCGCTGGGAGCCAGAGAGCTGCGAATAAAGACCCAGCAGAGAAGAAGCGCTCTCGTGCTCCAAATCAAGCCGCTGCTGCACGTAAAAAGTATGGTCTCATCTCGTGGCGCTCACTACTGTATCAAGCTGACTGTATTCTAGGGCCAACGCTTCCAATGCTGCATCGCCCGTTCTGGCCCCATCACCTTTGATTGGGACATTTAATGGCCCGCGTGGTGCCGCCAGTCCAGGACCCAACACATCAAGACCACAGTCTTCACGAGCCCAGCAGAATTCCGGAACTACCACCAATTCTCGCGCACGGCCAACATCGTCGGCCTCAAATCGCCCTAACAACAGTATGCCGTTTCAACCACTTCTCCCGGACCCAGTAATTAACCACATCCCCTTCGCAGACAAAATTGCCGATTCCCGATCTATAACCCGGGACGGACCCATCAAAAATGAACTCGTTCACGCAGACACACACCGCGACTATGAAGGCGACGCCAACGGTAGAACATCCGTTTCCGCGGGCTCCAAGCGCGAGGATGTGGATGGAAAAGCCGGTTCTGCCGAGCTCGAGACGACCAAGGGACGCAACTCCAAGACATCGACCCCTATCCTCCCCGCATTCACAGAGCCCAGCCAACAACGCGCAAGGCCCACGCGAAGTCAAGACCCGGCCTCTACCAAACGAACTCAGAAGAAGCCAATTCCACAACCTACGATACCCTCTGACGACGAGTCGCTTCATGAGGGCGACGACGAAGACGAGGAGGGTGAGCCACGCTACTGTTACTGTAATGAAATCAGTTTCGGTGAGATGGTTGCTTGCGACAACGACGCCTGTCCGCGCGAATGGTTCCATCTGTCGTGTGTGGGCTTGACGAAACCGCCTGGGAAGAATGGTAAGAGTGTTCTTTGCCTTGTTGAAACTGTCCAGATTGCTAACAGTCTCTACTAGTTAAATGGTATTGTAATGAGTGCAAGGAAAATATGAGACGGAGTCGCAATGGGCGGTAACATGTCCGATTCAGGATTATAGACATTGATGATGTGGCGTTATGTGGTTTTTTTCAGTTGGGACATACTCTAGCGCGGATACGGCCTTGCTAGTTGATATTCTAGACTTTATGCATTTGCAGATATTGTCTGGCCTTTCGCTCTAATTCCCACCCCTCTCTTTGATCATCGAGTATTGTAGTATTCCAATATACTTGATTACGAATGGCGAGAATTGCAAATGTGGGAACACCACATGAAGGGATCGAGAATGAAGGTATGGAAATAGGGCTTTGAAAACGAGCTATGTCTAATAGTGCCTCCTATAAACCCAAGAGTCCATTCCAACTGTCCGTAGTACATCTATACCAGATAGACATGTCCAACCAGTCTTGCATAGCTCAATTAAAGAAAAAGTAATCTTTACCAAGCACCTCTCAATCGATCAACAAACCCACCACCCTCACCAGCACTGTTTCCGCGTCTCTGAGCCTGACCACCAGACCCCTCCAACCCAGAAGCCGAAGCAGCAGCTTCACCCTCCAGCCTCCGTCGTAAATCCTCATACCTTTCACCCTCCGCACCGCCAGACCCAGCCCCAGACCCGGAGCCAGAACCACCCCTCCGCTCTTGCTCGCCAACCACCCAAGCCGGAACCCGGAACCCAGTGCTGACCGGTGACAGACCCGGTAGCAACTCCGCGCGCCAGGCTACACCGACGATCCAGCCCAGGGCTGACGGGAGGAGCATTGCGGGGAACTGGGAGAGGGCTAGCTGTGCAGCGACAACGTAGGTGGTTGATTTGTCGGAGAGGAGGAGGGATAGGCTTGGTGCTGGGGGTTTGGGCTGGGTTGCCGATGTATTATTATCGGGGGAAGGATCATTACTCGTACTGTTGTTTGTTGTAGTGGGGGAGGACGTGGACCCGATGCGGTAGCAGTATGTGTGTGGGATAGTGGCGTGGTACTGCGCCAACAGGGCGAAGATGGTCGCTGTTGGGCCGGAAGGGAGGTAATTAAGGTTGTTCAGGGAGAGTGGGCGGATTAGGAGGGTAAGGAAAATTGGCGGGAGGAGAGTTGTGTAGGGTAGTGTGGTGAGGAGGAAGGTCTGGAGCAAGCAGGTGTCAGCAATGGATTTCCGGTTCATATATGACGTTGTTCGGTCTCTTCGTTCCTTCAGGTCATAGCTGGCTATGCATATCTGCAGGAACGAAGACAATAAGACAAGAGAGGACTAACCGCCATCTTCCGTTTCCCCCACGCGCGTTCGACAACCCGCAGATGGTAGACCAACATCGCGGCGAAGAGGGCCTCGGTGGAATTGGTGAAGCCAGCTACCTGCCATACCAATGCACGCCAGAACTGTGCATAAGGCCAGATATGGGGTGATACATAGATCACGGCAAGGTGTTTGATGTCGAAGAGGGAGAGGGCGATCGACGATGCGATCGTGTAGATTAGAAGAGCTTTGGTGAGGGGCGCATTTGTGAGGCCGGAGGTGAGCATCTTGAGGCCCCTTGTGTTTCTTGTTTAGTATCTGGCTTGGGAAATCATCCAAGTTGGAGGGGAAGGTGAGTTGGAGAAAGTTCGGTGCAGTTGGAGGGGACAGATGGCACTAAATTCCCGAAGTCCGGGGAAGCTCGGTATGCCGACCTTCAATGTTGTTGAATCTCTACAATCACTTTCATGTCATTTTGTATATACTATGTAGGTCAATGAGGTAACGAGATTTTATTCACGGTACGAATCAAAACTCTCTTAAGGTATCATAATGTACATGCCATGTTCAATATCCAACTCCCGAGTTGTTTCCTTCTATTTGGCCCACCTCTTAACCAGCCAGGGCCGCTTCTTTATTCTGTTCGGCCAATTCTTTTTGGTATCGAGTCGATGCGACCTCCAGCGCATGGAGTGTAGGACCAAGAAGTTGGTTCACAACTTTCTGGCCCCCCTCCACGCCTTCTAAGTTGACTCGTAATTTTCGCCCGGTGCTTTCGTACATGTCACGGGCCTGTTTCTTGAGCCGGTCAACTTCGACTTTCCGCTCGGCCTCTGCGTCATTGGCAACAGCTCTAATGCGCTCTGCTGCTCGCTGAAGAGATTCCGCTAAAGACGCGACCTCTCCAGCGCGGTCAGGGTTGCCAGAGAGAAACGCCTGCCAGAACTGGTGCAAAAACTCCGTAGTTGTCGCGTGTGTCAATGTCAAGCGGTCAAAGAGCGCTGTCGACAACCCATATGTTTCTGATGCTGCTCGTTCAGCCATGTGAGCACGGCGCTCACGCAATGCTTCCAGAATCTGAGAAAATGCATCATGTAGAGCGGCAGATGACCCGACAGGTCGCCGGCTAGCAGGTGCATCCTCCATCTCTTCGTCTTCATCATCGCCAGGGTCCACCAACTTGCCCAGTTGTGTATTGCCCTGTGATGGGAGATTTTGATTGATCTCCGCACGAAGAATCTGAAGAAGCTGATCCGGATCTTGTTTCGCAAATTGCTTGGTCTTATCCTCCTCCTGCCCATGGCTGAAGAACCGACTTTGATCACGAATGTTCAAAGTGATGCGACTTTGCTCTTCATCTCCACGGAGATCTTGCAGCTGAAGTTTTTTCCATGCTTCTTCGTTGATGCCGATAGGGGCACTCATATCACCGTCCGCCGGAGCCACATTGGCCATGATTTTTTCACTCAAGCTGTTCAATGTCCGGATAATGGGTACTTTGTCAACGCCAGATGGTCTCATATCTAGATCAGGTCGGTTTCCGCCACGCTGGCTGTGGTTTACTTCATTGCCAGCAAGATCCAAAAAGTGATGGATATTTGTGTTGCGGTCCGGCAGACCAGCCTCGTCCGTTCGGAGGTATTTGTCCAGCACGGCATCGGTTGCGTCGGCCTCTGTAATCCGCTCTCCACGCAATTTTTTGAACAGCCGACTCTGGAAAAATCGTGACCAGAATTGTTGCTCGCTGAGCTTCGGCACATTCTCGTCATACACGCGTTTGACTAGTGGATGTTGTGTGAAGATGAGTTGAATCTGCTCTTTGCTGATATTCAACCGTGTCACGTTATCCTCGACTCGAGGCTTAAGTGAGGATAGCACATTATACGAGCCACGGATTTGGCCCTGTTCGATTGCATGCGCTCGCAGTAAATGTAGTCGTGTTGACCAAAATTGTGATACAAATGACGCAGACGACAAGGCTTCCGGTTTTGTATGCAATCCCTCGAAGAACATTCGCTGCAGATTTGAATCAGATCTTAATAAAGACTGCTGCAGCTCCGTGTCGGACCGAAGTCTATTATCCTCGTCCAAGGGATTCTTCGATGTCGCGGCAGATGTCACAGCGTTTGCGATCGCCATTGCCGCTGATAGGCCCTCAGGTCCACCTCTAGGCCCCGGTGTCTGGGATGGCGTGGCCGACTTTGCCGCATTGACCTGAGCACTCAATGTGTCTTTGATGAGATCGGCCTGTGAGCGGGCGTCCGCCCCGGCTGTAAATAGGAAGACATACTGATCGGGGGTACTGTTCGGAGGCGCATCGGGGGCTTGGGCAAAGATTTTGAGCATCACTTTCGGGTTGGAGGCTGGGGTCTGTTGTAGATCTAAGAGTCGCGCGAGTCAGCAAAGAGACGGACGCATGGCCAGGGAGTGACGACATACTAGTGATATTGGCCACAGGGATCGTGATCGTGTTCCCAGCCCCTGCTACTGCGGGATTCCATGAGACTGAGTTCTCATCTGCAGATATAGCTATGATTCCATCTTTCTTCTTGTAAGAGGCCGCTCCCCTCGGGGGTGACATCGTCGCGTGTCGCTTCCACTATCTTCAAAGGCGACAACGAATCCACCCATCGGGATTAGCAGTTCCTCAAGGGCGGCAATTGGCGAGGATGGTCTGAGACCTTCGTGATAGACAGGGCGTGTAGAGGTGAAACCAATAACGAGAAATGCGGCTCTTCTCTAAGGCATCACATGACGTTTGCCAAGCGTCACTGGGAAGCCAAGCCCTAAGTGAACGAAGCAACAGTTCCATCTGTGAGGTTTAAACGATGTAAATAATCTGGAATATTTATGGCGTTTATCTTTGATTTGGGTTTTTGTTCGAAGCAAGTCCTGTTAGAGACGTGTACAAGCCATCGTCCCTCTTTCAGTATATCTACAATGGTATTTCCTTGTGATTGAGATGAAGAAAATATGTTACAAATGTACTATCTCGCACTTGATTTATCATTTCTAGATGGGAGAATACTTGATTCCAGTAAGGTCATGACTCATAGCTTAGTATTTGATTCGAAATGCTTGCTTTCGATACATACTTGGATGAAAACTAGCGAGCTATCTGCACATCATCACCTTGTGACAGAGGGCTATCAGTTGCCCATAGCAGTAATTCAAGCACGATCTTAACAACTTAGACATCCATAATAAAAGCTAAGACTTAAATAGAGATGCAAGAAGTGACCTGAATCAACCTAAGCCCCAACATACGGCTCTTTACGTTGCACTTGACAGAATCACCACCTGTTTCATGACAACCCAACTAAACCCATCCATCCAAAGCCTTCCACGCGGAGCTGATTGGCTTCGGGGGCGAAACAAGACTATCTTGCCTATTGCTATCCACTTTGATCACCGCAAATTGATCCCCGCGGAAGACATAGTAGAGGTCCTGACCATGCGGGCTCGGAACAATAGCATCAACACTATCAAAGCCAGCTTGAACAAGACTCGGCCAGCCCTGTGCAATAGGTGCAACCTTATTGACCATCTTGTCGGTACTATTATCCAGACGAACATAGTTCAAGCCGTTGAAAAAGTACATCTCATTCTTTGTTCCTGGGGTGAGCATTGCTGCATCCACAGTGTCAAAGCCCGCCTGGACGAGTGATTTCCATCCAGAGGTAATAGGACGAGCGCCGTCGTTGACAAAGCTATCGTCGTAGTTTTCAAGCTTGATCTTGGCATATCGGCCTCCGAAGAAAACGTAAAGTTGGTTTTCGTGGCCCGGCACAGGCACAATAGTGTCCACTGTACCAAAGCCCATCTTAGGCAGAGTGTTCCAACCCTTGCTTGAGAGCGTGGGGCCTGCAGCAAGATTATGCTCGGGGCCTCCTTGGCTAAATCTGACACGACCATAATGTCGGCCGGAGAAGACGTAGATCTCCTGTTTTCCGGCAATGCGGCAGGCGGCGTCAACCATTGTGGATGAAGATAATCGATGAGATTTTGAAAGAGTGAAAGTAACTTTGTTGCTTGTAGATAGACTGATAACGAATTGTGTGGAATATGGATCTTCAGACTAGAGCCTGATGTGATGATATTTATATCTATCTGCCCTTGGAACTTGGGCTCTTCATTGCTCATATGACACCCACTCCCTGCCTGTACGATGATAACATTGAGCATGTCACGTTTGTATGACTGGGATCAAATACCATTCACTGCATGGTGTTCTACAGCTAGACTGGAGCAAAAGGCATTGGCTCTTCATTGCTCATATGACACCCACTCCCTGCCTGTACGATGATAACATTGAGCATGTCACGTTTGTATGACTGGGATCAAATACCATTCACTGCATGGTGTTCTACAGCTAGACTGGAGCAAAAGGCATTGGCTCTTCATCTTACACATGATTTGATTTACGCCAAGTCGAGCAGACATTATGACATTTGATAGAAGATGCCAATCGACTCATTTAATCAAAAGACTCTCAGCCATACGCTGCATTGATTGATACTTAAAGATAATATCCATGGATCACAGTATTAATTATAGACGGCAATTCTGTAGCCATAGCCATAGCTGCCTTTCTCCCTAATATATTAACAGTTCAGGTTCCTGTGATAGCTACTGGCCAACAGCCATCTCAAACTGAATAGCTCGATCTCTGAAATATACATACGACGAGCATTGAATGCCTCGTACCACTGAATCGTACCGAGGAAGACCAAGGGTATACATAGATGTGCAGCAATAGCCCCTCGGCTTGGGAGGATCAAACCTTACTCCACAACCCGTGCAAGGAAGACATGTAGTGCCCGTATTTAACAACAAGAAAAGGGCTAAGACCTATGGGTTCACTTCCTAGCATTGGATCTCTCGGACTCTGTGACTCGCTCTAATACTTATGGCTCAAATGACCGGTCTGTGTGACATAAAAAGTTGAAACTAGAGAAAACTAGAGAACTAGTTTTCTTCTATGTGTGAGCTGGATATTGATGAAGGGCTAGGCGCAGAAAGATGAGGGTGCTAGTAACATCGGAAAGAAAGATCGATGTAGCAGTAGTCTAGCTAGTAAGGACCATGTATATCGAGATTTGTTTTGATATTAGGCATTCATATTTCCAATAGGACTAAGATACTTTGAATTTCTATATTACTACGGTCCTATAACTCCTATAGGTCCTCGAATGTTTGCTTTCCACTCCTTCAGAGCGTCATAGCGCTCCTTATATTAGCATCTCTCCATAAATTGCCATGTTCATCACGGCTCTTGGTTTTAGTGCTTGATAGGTCTTTATTGAAGATGTCGTGTTTCTTGTCCTACATTGGGGGTTTATATATGAGCAATCGTATTGGGTATACGGTATAGATGGTAATTGATTCTACCGCAAGGAGAAAGGAGATAGAGAGAAAATGTCAAGAGCACCTAGAGGAAAGAGTTCGGTAGAAGATTCACACAAACAAATAGTTCAGCCTAACTAATCAACTGTGGTGCTATGATCCTGTAGGGGGAGAGATGCTGAAAGTTCATCGTAGATTGATGCCATTGACAGCATGTCGACAAATGCACAATATCCTTCCTTTCACTTGAACATCTTCGCCAACTTCTTTTTGCGCGCCTCTTTGAAAATTTCCTCAAACACAGGTCTGATCTCCTGCAGAGCTGCCTTCCGAATTGCACGCTTGAGCACTTTCTGATTGTCATTGTAGTCTTCAAAGTCAGCCTCCTCCAGCAGTTTCTTCAACTGAGTGTCGAAGATCGCCGTCATTGATCTTCCATAATCAGGGATTCGGTGTTCGTAATCGCCTTGGCCTATCGCGTTAAGAAGGCCCTCTGTGGCTTTGTTTATCACCACCACAAGTAGGTTGAGGGTATTCTTCTCTGCATCGGGACTGAGTAGGTTTGGTAGGTTCTGTATGACATCCATGTAGACGGTCACCCCCGCTCGTATAGCCATTGCGCGCATACGTTTGAGGTCTTTGTAGTAGTCTTCTCGTCCAGGAAATTGGTCAGTGTCTGGTTCATAGGTACTTGGGTAATTTCGCCGCCTGTCATCGAGGCTTTGCTTCGGTTTGGCGAACATGATTCGTCATAATCTTACCGATCAAGTCTGCATGTCCATGAGGAGGTACTGCGCGGGGGCCCGGTGGAGCCAGCGCATCATCGTAGACCGAACTAAGCAGCATGATGATATCTTCGTAGTCATTTCCACTCCCGCATTGTGTTTCAAAAGACTGTGTATATCACTAGGATTGAGAAACATAATCTCATTTAGGTGTCCGAGGATACATACCTGGCCCTCCTTTCTAATGCGGAAGAACCTGAAGCGACCACCGTCCGTTGCAAGTGCATATGCAGTGTGGTTTTGCTTCCGACGCCTCTGCTCAACATGAATCCCAACTTTGTCTGGTTAGTCGTGACAGATGTGACAGAGCATGAAACACTCACCCGTAAGCGCTATCATCTCTGAGCCTACTGGACTGGACCCCAAGACATTTGTAGGCCGCATCACCGCCAGGAAATCGATGCCTATGTCCTCTATTCCGTACCAAAAACAACATTCAGGATGTCCATGTGCACGGCCCCGAGCCGAACTGGTACAGATACCCATGTAGGAAGATCCAGAGCGAGATTGGACATCCTGGGAAGATGGCTCAAGCATATGTCTCTTCATCACTTGGAAGTGGACGGCTGAAAGGAGCAATTCAACCCGAAGTCTTTGAAATGCTTCATTTTCGGGGCGTGATCTCAGCGCGTTGAGAGATTTGACGAGGTCCTCTTTGTTAGATTAATTGGAGTTTCGTGGCGAGCTCGCTAAGGGAGACGCAACTTACCATACGAGCATTCGATTGGTATGGCCATGGCGAAGAGTGCAGCCTAAGCGCAATTCAGTGCATTGACTGGGGAAGCAAAAGTTGGGTAGGAGGGAGATTGCAGAATGTGAGAGAGATGGAGAGAGAGAGAGAGAGAGAGAGAGAGAGAGAGAGAGAGAGATGGAGAGATGGGGAAAGAGGTGAAGAGAGGCAGAAGCTTGTCGGTTTGTTCGCCAGGTAGTTTCCTCTTTGGGGAGACACTGGATGAGGCACCAGACACGAAACACCAGGCTACACCAGATCAAGTTTACAAAACAACTCATGAAAAATTAAACTTAAGACTATTGATGAGCAGAGTAGTAAAAACCAGATAAATACAGCAACGCCAGTAATATGGGAGAGTCCAGGAAAAAGCCAGACACCGCTGAAGAGATCTCAGATGCTATGCAAAACCAAAAGACAAAACGCGACCGAGAGCACGAACCCGAAGCCAGGAGCCAGAATACCGAAATTCGTAAACCATGTTGCGCGCCGCCATGCATAGACCGGATATCATATCATTCATGACCGTCAAAAAGCAATAAAAGCAAAATGAAAAAAATAGCAATGCCCCTCCAATGAAAACGCAAACCGTGAAAATGAAAGATATCAAATCAAGGGTATCAGCAAAAGTGATAAGAAGATCCAGCGAAAACGCTTTTTTTTGGGAGAACAGAACGCTCATAGTAGATCATTTTTTGAACATGTAATGGCCGTAGAGGCCGCCGACCTCACCAACGGCCATGGGAATCTTTCGCATGCCCCACCAGCGTGCACCCATCTTCCAGTAGCGAGCGCCATCATCGGAAGGTTCGTGGGGCATGGAAGATGGTTCGCGAACGTACCAGCCACGACGACCGAGGTCTCGCACAGTCCAACCAACAGATACGCGCTGAGTCTTGGCACGCTCACGCAGCGGTGTGATAATCTTGTCACTGAACTCAACGACCTGCAAGGGGTAGCTTTGGTTCGAGAGCAGGGAGCAAGCGCTGGTGTTGAAGATGGCTCCGATGGTCATCTGCGGTACCTTGGCAAGGTCGAGGTAGCAGAGAGTGCTCGGGGCATCGGTTTCAACTCCTGTGGCTGGGTTACGGTAGCGACCGAAGAAGGCGTTCACGTCCGCGACTGAGAGATCCGCAGAGCTAAGACCCAGCTCCTCCAGGTACTTGGACATGGGCACCAAGTATGGTACATGATCCGATGTGATCTTTGCTCCGCCCAGGTTGAGAGAACGGAGAGTCTGGGGAAGCTTTGGCAGCAGGGCAGACACATCGGTCTCTTCCAGAAGACGGAAGCGGGTCGGGTCCGTCAACAGGTTCAAAAAGACAAGAGACTCATTGACTGACGGGTGGGTGGTGAGGAATTGAACTAGGGCGCACGGGCGGAGGCGTGTGCATCGGGACAAGCTTAAATGCGAGATACGGGCAGTCTCGGGGATGGCGAAGAGAGCTGAATCATTAACTTGAGTGTGGGTAAGATCGAGGTGCGTGAGGTTGACTAATCGCGGGAGAAGGTAGTCAAACATAGGGGCGGGGATAGTGCTGCATTCGTGGAACGAGAGTCGTTTCAGGTTGGGCATGGTCATGGGTAGCGCAGGTCCACCGACCAAGGCCTCCTGGAAGACCCCGGAAAATGCCTGGGTCGAACAACCGCAGAAATCCACGGCTCGCAAGTTCGGCAGGCTCATCAAGAGCTTCCGAATGACTTCCACGCTAATATCACCTTCCAAGTGTTCCTGCAACAAGCATTCCTTCAAATTGGGTAGCAATTCTAGGCACTGCAAGAGGGTCTTGGAGGTCAGGTTCTGGATCTCAGCGTTCATCTGCTTGGTGCGACCTAGTCCAACGGAGGTGAAGTGGGAGAAGTCCAGACGGCGCACCAATGTCCCCAACGCCGGATACTGCGACATATGAGTGAGGGCCTTGGAGAAGATAATGGAGTGTGGGAAGGTCATGTTCCTGTACAAGACACCCAAAGTAGCAGCGTGCAACGTGTGGGAAGTAAGCAAGCATGAAACCAAATCCACATTGCGAGGGGCGTAGCCATTTGGAGGCAGATCGACGGCAAGATTAGAGATGATTTGGTCTACCAGACATGTTAGCGCACGAGCAACAAGGATGACAGGTGCGGCTTCTCACCAAGAACCTCCGGAGGCAGCCTCTCCAAAGGTGATGGACCGGGAGGGGTCTGCAAAACCTCCATTTCGGGGACCTTGGGTGGGAGAAGCTGCATGGGTTCAGGGTCCTGGGCTTCCCATGCCCAGCCCTTTGCTTGTAGATTTCCAAGGCCACGGAGATCGCTGTAGCTGCGGCTCAAACTCTTCCCGCCCAATCGAATCTGCTTCCATCCCAGGAATCCACCACAAGGACAGCAGAAGTCCGGGGCCGGTTGCATTGGGCTGGGGCGGTCGACCTTGCGCTCGTGGTCGTGCTCTTGGGGAGATAGAACTTGGTGGGTGTCCACGAATGATTGCGCAATTCCTAGATTGTCGATCACGTCAGCCTCCAGCGTGGATTCGTACATGGTCGGTACGTACCGTCCTCTGTATCTTCTTTGATTGAACCGAAGGAGGGGCGACGCTGGCTGCTGGATCTGGACCCATCCGGGGTGCTGCACGGCGAGGGAGATGACTCGCGTGAGTGGAAATGATCACCGCAGGGAATTGACGACAGTCTGGGGAAGGCCGGCTTGGGCTGCGAAGGGGCAGTAACGGAAGTCATGGTGAAGAGGATGAGGCCCTCTATAAAGGGCCCTAATTGTACACTAGTTGAAAAAGTACCTTGGAGTAGGAAATCAAAAAAAGACCAGTCTACCGAAATTTAAAAATGAAAAAGCTTCAGATTTGAAAAAAAAGGGGAAAAGGGAGAGGAAAAAAAAAACAGTGAAAGTGGTCAAGACCGAGGGCAAGTTTAGGGCTCTCAGAGGGGCGGGGGGTTAAAAAAAAAAACGAAGCTGTTAGTCACGGAAACGGACCGTTGCACAACTTTGTAGGTAATATGGCTTCGTCAAGGCTTTCCGGTGGACTTTCGCTAGCAAAGGATTCACTAGACGGATATTTTGTAAAATTGAAAGAGATGAAGGTCAAAAAAAAAATGAGAGGATAATCATGGGTCATGGCCACATGGGGCGAACTTTTCTATTTTTTTTCATAAAACTGATTGATTACGGTGGCGGATCTGGAGTTTTTATTTTATTTATTTTATTTATTTTCGATGATTCTTCTTTCTATCTCTATTTTGAAGTAATTGAGTCAGTCTAGTCCTATATTATATTTCCCGTAGACTTACTATTCATTACTATTTAGTATATTACTATACTATATACTTTGTACTTATACAACTAGACTGATTAAGTTCGTGTTAGTTCCCCAAGCTACCCCTGCAGACCCCATTTGCTTTTTTTATTTTATTTTTATGCATGCGGAAAATGGCGTCACTCGCCGCATTGGAGAGAATGTTCCCAGGGTTCTTAAAGATAAGATATCAAAGATACTGTAGGTAGGTATCTAGGAACACCATATTCTAAGTATCCAAATAGACGAAGTGTTATCTATAATATAAGTACCCAATCCCCCCGGGCCCCCAAACCTGGCAATTATGTGACAGGTCAGCCGATTCATTTAAACTATATACCCCAGAAAATTCCAGGTTCTCATTACTTAATGACCATTCCCCATGGCCCCTGTTCACAGCGATTCGCCTCTGGATTTGACGATTACCTAATGAGAATCCCCATCACCTGATCCTCATGAGCTGATATAGAGGTTTGAGCTTCCCGGACTTCCGAGCTCTATCTCCGTACGGTCGTTCTATTCGCTTCTATGCCTTTCTCCATTCCCCCTTCTCCAGCCGTAATTTGTTACCTATCTCACTTCTCACCGACTTTGCTTGTCAGCCAAGACAGGTGATCCACGGGTATGCAGCTGATCGTCAATGCCAAGCCTATCGTTTCTCTTATATGTATACTCCCCTCTTCGGTCTATTGGGAAATAAAACAATGGCCTCTCTCGCTTTCCACCCCCAGTCCCGTAATATTGTCATCCTGACCTACTTCAAGGACCGGGTTGCTGACTAGCACTGCATCTTTGGTACCACTTGTCGGACAGGCCCCAGGGATTGGCAAAGGCTTAGTTCTCGCGCTGCAGCTGAGCAACCCGAAAAGAATACAACCCAGCCCAGATCCCAAGACAGGAGAGACCTTTGGCGTCATTTGAGTCACAGTCTCATGGAATGGTGGCCAAGCGAGTACAGGGCTTGACTGCATGCCAAGCCCTGATTTGAATGCACCTCCGCGGAATTGCATCTGCCGCCAAGGTCTCCCCGCATTGCTCAAAAACAAGGCCTTGGTCTGACTCCTTTCCCTGTCCTTTTCTCCTTCCTTGACTTTTAGTCTCTTCACTTATTTCCAATATTGCCCCTATACCCGTATTAACAAGTGCTTGTCAACAAACCTACTAGATCACAGCCAAATCATCTGACCACGTTGAAACTGTGAGTTCAAACCCCCTAGCTTCGTCTTTTGAGCATCGTGTCGCAAGAAGATTTGAACCCTACTCTTTCCCTGATGAACGTTTTTTCTAAAGCGTTTCCTATTACCTGACACCCCATTCATGGGAATGTTGAGACCTATGTGGATACTGAATGGAAGAAAAAGCAATGTCATGGTGTGAAATCGCCACCGTGGCATATAATTCGCGAATTGATCTGGTTTCCACAAACTTGAGTATACGCTGACCATGGTCTACTCGCAGAAATTCTCGGTCCAATTACCGCAGCATTTCGGGCTAGCATTCGGGCCGCGGGGGCCATGGGGGGCTATGTGGGTCAAGAATGGATCAATAGCTCCACGTAAATTCGGAGCAAAGATGTAAAGCAAATGAAAAGAGTTTGCAGAGAAACGAACACGAAGCAAACAGACATGTCGCTATCGAGTGGGTGGCCTGACGCTGTTGAAAACAAAAGACTTGACGACGCGTGCAAAAAGACCAGGCTCAAGACAAAGCAGGAAAACCCCCAGGGCGCCATGATGAAATAGACTCTAGGAAAGTGAATTCAATACAGTTGTAAGAAGAGATCAGAAGTATCTCAAGGTTTGCCATCTGAGATCAACTATTAATAACATCCCGGTACTAATCAACTACCTGAACTCTTCTGCACAATCAGGAACATTCAGGAACATTTGAAACCACGTATCCCCAAAGCCCTCTTCACTTGTAGCTACTCAGCAACTTCCTCACTTCGGTATACAGAACAATGCCACTTGAAGATGTACTTCGTACACTCGTCTATCTATCTGCCTTGTCTCCACAACCACTTCTCAAACTCATCCGAGTTTAACCCCCTAGGAACCTGGTTCTTCGAGCTCTTCCATTTCGTTGACAAACCAAAACTGGCATGTCTTGTTGGATCTTCCATCAGTCTCTGGATCCTTATTGTTTCGTGGTTCTCTCCCTCAGAAGCCACCCTTGCTTTATATGACCGCTCCGCGAAAGCCCTAGCACGCGCCTGATCGCCGTGTACAATACTGATCTGGAAAGCATCATAGTAAAGCCTAGTAAGATGAGGGTCCTGGCTACCTTCGTACTCCTCCTCAAGAATTTGAACAAGAGCTTGGCAATCTTTGAGGCAGTCCTTGGGGCTATACATCACCCGGGACCCATCACCAATCGCGGCATCCAGGAGTTTCATCTGGCGGCGGCGCTTGTCACTCTGTTGCAGCTGATCGGGTTGGCTTGAGCAAATGCTGCAATCGCAATCGAACCCAAATGCCTCCTTCAAGTGACGACGTCGCTCGTCTGAGGGACCCCCATGATCGTAGGGGAAAGTAATCTCTTCTCCTGCCTTAATAAATCGAACTGCATACATATTTTCACGTCCCAAAGAACTGTCCCAGCTGTTGTGCGCGTTAGGCAAACAACTGTGGTTGATCCGTGAGATAGTAGAATAAATGCCTCCAGTCATAGATCCAGGGCCGCATGGCAGAGCGTTTGTTCGGACAATGCCACTGAACGGCTGCTTTCCTGGGAAATTGTTATGCAAGGACAGAAACTGGCGTTGAGCATCCTTTGGTAACTTTCGTAGCTCTGTTGCTATTTGTTTCTCCATCGTCGTTGTGTTTGTAATGTTCAAAGTTGTGAGCAATGGCTTCTCGGAGACAATCAACTGCCCTTTCGCAATGTTGAAGCGTGCCACGAGGCCTTGTCCCTTCCCCGGTACTGGCTGTATTTTGTAGAGTGGCAGATTGGGCTCACTGATTGGATCCGTACCGAGCACTAATTGGCCTATGGTGGTAGGCGTATTCGGTTTGTCGAACTAGATATTCATAGGTCAGAGAGCATCAGTGAGTCATGGCATTCATAATGTCGTACCGGCTCGTATGATCTGATCGATTGTTGTACTTCATCCCAACCGTAGTGACCCGGTATCCCTGATCCCTCATCCCAGCAATAAGCTCTTGATTCGAAGCAGACGGTGGCTATCCGACTGACAGTATCGATATATTTTCTCCATTTACCGGAGTCTTCATTCGGAATCATTGTACCAAAACGTAGGAACTTGTGACTTTCGAATGGAAGTAGCAGGTTCGAGTCGAACTTGAATGCAATATAGTTCGGCTTCACTTCGACTTGATCGTCGTCTTGGTATCGCTCTCTGGTGAATGTCAAGAACATTTCCCAGTTGTGTTTGTCTAACAGGCCTTCTGATAGGCGTGGAACCATGTCAAACCCCATGTAAGAGCCCATAGTTATCGATAAAGTTATTGATGAAACAGAATTAAAACCGGACAACAGAAGAACTTACTTCTGAAAACAGGCCGTTGAGGGGGAGGATCTAGCAGCAAAAGAGGAAAAGAAGCAGGGCTGGGGTCCCAGCTGGCAAATGAAGTCTACCATTATATATAGGTCATGGGGTACTGAGCAGCAAGGCAGCACTCAGCCTGATGCGCTGTCCACCACCCCTGTCAGATGTCGGGTCAACACTCAGGTACCTTTTATATGGGACACATACATCAAAGGTACTTCAAAGTCAACATCCGCTTTAAACATACAAGCATATATTTATGTCTTGACTACAGCGTTTGCTTTGACGTTTGTGCCAGCTGAGAATCTCAAATGCTTCGCGTCAGTATTCCGAGCTTGATGTACCAACATGAAGCCCGATCCAAAGGAATTAATTGTGCGACGAGACTGGTCGATAACAGCGCCCAGGAATGCCTCCTGCATCTCCATGCTCAAACCATTGAGATACTCACTATGGCCATTCATCTTGAAGGCACTATGCACAAATATAAGGTCTTCACACTGATTTCACTTCGCCGCGACTTGTGCAAGGCTGGCGATGGTAGTAAGCGTCTCAAAATTGTCCAAAGTGTAGATTCCCAGGCCGTTCTGAATATATGCGAGTTCATCTACAGAAAATCCCGTGACATTGAGTGATCTATCTCCGTCGGAAGGGCTATCGGTGGCCAGGTTGCCGTATTTAGGGCTATGATGCTTTCTTCGTAGCCAAGCTGCTAACATTGCGCGCTAATGTTTAACAGAGCAATGGCTCGAGCAAAGAGAAAACACCCCTTTAGTATTTTCTTGGAGCGGGTATACCAAATTTTATAAGAGTTGCATGAGGAAAATGGGGCCGCAATGAGAGAATTGACTGGCTGATCAAGTACAGGTCGTTCTCATTCCCACTTTCTTCTGCTCCTGTCGTTATAGAGGAGCTTAAATAGAGCTTTCTATATTTGGCCTTGCTCCCCTGGCGTCCATTTCTATCCACCTCAATACGGAGATGGACGGATATATCGGCATTTCCTGATTGGGGTTACACCGACTTGCCATCGTGAACATGTGTTCTCCATGGAGTGTTACTTTGTTATCAGAAGCTCTCATTTTTGAGAAAAACATGCATCACAAGGCGCCCTTGGTGCCTGAAGTACCCTTCTCCAGGCTAGCATGGGTGCAATTCGGATCGCCCCGAGAATTTGTAAAATGCGTTAGGCCAGATAGTGAGATTTGAGAGAGCCATACTAATGGAAGCCTCCAGAAGGCTAAAGGACCACTTATCTCAAACCCTAGAGTCGTTGGTAAGCATATAGAAGCCACCTTAGGCAGCAGTGTTAATCTTACTCCGTAAAGAGTACTGTTTCTGTTTCCAAGCCTTTCTTGGCAAGGCTTCTTTATGATAGTGATTCTGATTGGGCATTGACAAGCTTGATCAAGATTTGCATTCTGAAATCCCTAGAAAAGAGATGGCTTCCAATGCTTCTATTGAAATGCGAGAAATATCTCAAGGTAACTATTTTTACAACCTTGGAGAGTCTGAGACCTTGTCCTGGCACTTTCATACTTTCCCTTGTTCCTCAACTACTCCATCTACTTACATCCTGAAATCCTAATTGATTCACGTTCAGTTTCGCTCGCAGCAATTGGATTAAAGTCGAAATGCTTCTCACTTTAAGTCAGATCATGCTTGCAGTTCTACCCTCACGGGTCTTGAACGTTCTGATCAGCCCAGGGGGAGATGGAGACCTACTAAGCCAAGTCGCGGGTGTTCTTCCCACGACCATACACATGGAGCCCACATTTTCTTCCTTTGCTCTCATTTTTAGCCAGATATTCATTTCCACTTTAGTAAGACTCTGCTCTTCTTGACATAACTGATTCTAATCGATTTTTAACAAGGTCCGTTATGTTCTTGGCCATGCAGTGGCGACAATGTTGATCCTTGAGATTGGCCAAAAGGATAGGGCTTTCTCAGATCACGGACGGACCAACAAACGATCTCTGACGTTCCGATCCATCTACGAGGCCATGCGTCTCATATATGATACCCAGAGCCTTAGCGCATTTCTTTACGCCATTCTGATAGCTGCCGTCTATCAGGTTACCCATCTTGCAATCAGAATTTGCTTGGAAATTACAATTTTCGGACACGAATTGCTGATCCCATTTGCATACGCCTGCTCCTCGGTTCTCTTGTGCAAACTTCATTTGATGTGGACTTGTGCTACTATCTCGTCACATCGACCTCGACTCTATTCTTTAGCAGAAGCTGCGCAACAGAGCAAATGGACACACTTGGCCATCCCCAGTTTCACATACGGGATATGTCAAGCCTTGATGAATGAGTGCCAGAGTCTACTGCAAGCATCGATGATTCCTTCCAACGAAATGCCAATCTCCTCGAGCAGGCGCGCCAGCGTCGAGATCCTTGCAGCAATCATCATGCTTGCATTCCGGTTCCTGGGACTAATGCCAACGTCCATCGCTCTTGTATTGACCGAAGCAAGCCTTTTACCGGGCAAATTGGAAACAATCATTCCTTCTCCGACAAAGCAACGTGGATCAACAATTGCCGAGCTGCTTGGAGGGGAAAAGGTCCCCATGGGACTTGCTGCATTTAGCAGCGCACTGAAGGGGTTCGGCGTGGCTCAATTTTTATGGCTGATTGAACTTCATTTGAAAAAGTGTTTTGTCCAAATAGTATTCGAAGTGCTTACTCTGCCAATTATTCTCCTTGGCATTCTTTAAATTCGATAATGACAATTGATGTTCAATATGTTACTTGATACTGAAGCAAGTTTTGCTCTGGCTGTTACTGGGCCAATCATAGCGATGTTTACTCTCGATCTCAGTGGAAGTCAAATCACATTAGATCCCATGTAACAGGGCCCTTAGCTATTGGACGATAGGGACTACGGTAACTTTGGACGGACGGGGCTGCTAGTACTGCACCTCGCCCTACTTAGCCGAAGAACAACTCAACCAGCACAAACGCAGAACCCGAGACAATAGCCCCGAGACATACAATCTCGACCCGGTACCTCATTGCCGGGGCAAGACATGCATACCCGCACAAACACTATGGTCTAGAAGCCTGGAGAAAAACGTGTGCCCTGGAAAGATGTACTTACCCGTCTCATAGCGTGTCTTGGGTGTCGGGTTAGGCTGTTTGCAGCCGATGGTTAGCTACCATGTGTGTCTTGTGGTTTGACGGGAAGCTCTTTTCCCTTTCTTTCTTTTCTTCTGGCCTTCCCGAGACACAGGTCTAGATGTGGAAGGTGAAAACTGGAACATGAATATGAGTTTTTGGTATATGTGTAAGCATTCCGTTTCCCCAAGGTTGATAACCTGGTTTTACGCGGTGTAAAAGTCAATCATGAGTGTATTATACGCATCCATGGATAAATCTGTATGTACCGTAGAGAGATGGAACCCCTTTGAGAGCTCTCCTGATAAGGGATGATACATCATCATGTCGTCAATGATTTCAAGGTTGCTTTTCTAGACTTACCTAGCTAACTTCTGGAACAATCCAACCTTGATGTACGAAAATTACGAGAAACTTACTTTGACACTGACATGAAAATTGCATGGTATGGTATTGATATGGGGGATATAACTGCATGCGGAAATATGTAAAAAATGAAACGCTTCTTCGCGTCATGTAACGTCCAGTCTAAAAAGGGAAAAAGTCCAGGGAAAAAGTCGAAACCACCGACCATCCGTATTGTAAAAAGTAGGAAGTAGATCTCAGTCTGTTTTTTCAAGTCGGTAATCCAAATCGAAAGGATATCAAAAAACCCAAGGCCCAGAATTCAGGATTCCAAAAAAAGGCCGAACTCAAGGGTCACATGCATCAAGTGGTGGAAAGTGGAAAGAAAAGAAGTCTATGAAATGACATGACATGGAAGAAAACAAAAAAAAAACGCCAAGGAAAACCTTCTCAAGCCCAGTATCACATGTTTTTCGAGTTTCGTTTCAGCGTGAAAAGATCGGGGGGATAACTGATCCTTTTTACTCAATAGCGGAGGCACCCTCGCCGTGAGTGACAGGGTTGACCTTGGGGTTCCACTTGAGCTTGAAGTCGGGGCCAAGCTCCTTAGCAATGGCAGCCTTGACGGCCTCGAGGACGTTGTTGAAGACACCGAAGTTGGCAGGACTGTTGGGGTCATTCTCACCCTCCTTGCCCTGGAAGACACCAGTGCGGACCAAGCAAGTGTTCCAGCCGTACATGTTTCCACCGATGATATCGGAGGCGGGGTTGTCACCGACCATGTAGACGTTCTCGGGCAGACGGGCGACGCCGTGGAGCTCCTCCATCCAGGACTTCAACACCTCGTCGGCGTAGGTGTAGGTAGCACGCTCGGGCTTACCGTAGACCACACGCTCAAGGTCGACACCGGTGAGAGTCTTGTACTGGGCCTCAACGGAGATACGGAAGGCACCCTGGGTGAGACGGGGAAGACCCTTGTGCTCGGTGGGCATGAGAAGATCACCCTGGGAGAAGTAGATGGGAATGCGGGTGGCGACGGGGTCCTTGGCCTTGGTCATGAGCTTGCCGTCCTCGGCGAGCAGGAGATCCATAATGACCTGGAAATCGGTCTGGTAGTCACGAGAATCGGCGAAAACCATGATGGCGTCGAACTTCATCTGGGAGAAATCGCGGGGCTTAGCCTCGGCGCGCTCGGCATCGGTGAGAGTAGCCCAGGGAGAGATGGAGGGGTCCCAGGCGAGAAGATCCTTAGGGTGAACGACGGTCTTGAAACCGTAGTTCTCGGCAACCTCGCGGATCTTGAAGCCTTCACCACCAAGAACCAGAACGGTATCGTAGTACTCAGCCAAGGCCTGCATGGGAGTGTGCGATTGGATGAACTGGTCGGTGGAGATGGGCTGCTCGAGGATCTCGGAGAGCTGAGCACAGCGAGCCTCTTCGGTCTTACCACCACCGTTGGTGAGGAGAATGTGGGGAATGCGGATGCCCAGCTCGTTGTCGCCGTTGAGCATCTTGAGAGCGACCTTAGCCTCCTCAATGGCGTGGTTTCCGTGTGCCAGCACACCATCGATGTCGAAAGCGAAGGCCATGTTCTTGGCCTTGGCAGTCAATTCCTTGTTAATATCCTGAACCTGGGAGGCCAAGATGTCCCGGGAGACTGAAGGAGCACCGCGCTGCACAGATGAGAGGCGGGACATGCGAGGGGAGCGAGGAATAGGGAGGGAAGTGCCGAAGGAGTTACGCGAGCCCCGGCGGTCCTTCATGGAGGGAGACAAACTCAGGTTGTGCATGAATTGGGCGGCATCACTGATAGCGCTGCGGGTGGCGGGGATCTCAACGGTGTTGCCGCCTGCAGCGGGGATAGTGAGGCCGGAAGCCTGGCGCTCCCGGGGTGAGAGCGCACCGTGGGGATCCTGTGCGCGGGGATCCTGGGCAGCCGGATCGACCGCGAAGTCAGAGTCCTCGAAGCGAGGCATGATGAAAGTATTAGATAGAGGGGAGATAGTAGAAAGGTGGGGTAAGCTTCTACTTGGGGAGTCACTGAATTCAGGACTCTAGAAGAATTGAAGTGAAAAAGGAAGAATGAGAAGTGACTGATAAGGAAGTAAGTTGGTAAAGGAGGGAGTTCAGCAGAGTATATATAGAAGCCAACCCTGATACCAGACTCAATGGGGCAGACAAACGAAATTGGTATTTTGCCATTGAGGTTACGAGGGATCCACTCACCGGGTATCATCCCTAGGAATTATCGTCATCATTTGGCAAGATATAGGGTGGACCGTTTCTTGCAATGAGGCCGGCTTGTACAGGGTACCTGCGTCATTGTGGCTGATACAGTGTCTCGCCATGTACCTAGTACACGGGATGTTCTCCTTCCCGCCGAATTGAATCAGAAAGGTGTTGATTGGGCAGGACCAGACTTGCTAAGCCGAGTATGAAGCAACGCAGCAAGCCGAGTGGGTAGGAAGAGGCCTGAGACGGACGGACGATTGGACTGGAGCGCAGTTCGCCCGTGGACCCGACATGAGATCGATGGAGCCGATGACGATCAGGTCAAACGCTCAAAACATCGTTGGTGATGTCATGGGAGCTTTGAAAATTACCAGTGGTAATTTTGCATTTTTTTAAAAAAAATAGTTTCATTTTTATTCATTTTTGTTCATTTTCCCTACATATTTCATTTCTTTATTTTATTTTGTTGTATTTTATTTTTTATTCTACGATTTGATTTGATTTGATTTTCCTTTTTGTCAGGGGAATGATCTCCAAAGAACTAGAGTGTTTCTGACCTAAAAGGAAAGTCAGGCTAAGTTGCATAGAATATACTACAATATGCAGTTCAAAGTTCAAAGTTCAATTGAAATCAAATTAAATCAAAAACTCTCAAATTCCAAGGTTGTGCCCCTCCAACCCCTCCACCCCACTTCCGACATCGTCATCGCTCCCTAAGCTTCCCCCACTCTTTTATCTTCTATCTTCTATCTTTCAGCTCTCCCTCTTTCTCTAACTATACTCAATCACATCAACCATGTCATCTGGAAAGACTTTCACATTGAGCAACGGGGTAAAAATCCCTGCCGTCGGTTTTGGTACCTTCGCCAGCGAGGGCTCCAAGGGTGAGACCTACGCCGCCGTCACTACTGCCCTTAACACAGGCTACCGTCACCTTGACTGTGCCTGGTTCTACCTCAATGAGGATGAGGTTGGTGATGGCATCCGTGATTTCCTCAAGGCCAATCCCTCTGTCAAGCGTTCGGACATCTTCGTGACTACGAAGGTCTGGAACCACCTGCACCGTTACGATGACGTCCTCTGGTCCATCAACAACTCTCTCGAGCGTCTGAAGCTCGACTACGTGGACCTTTTCCTCGTTCACTGGCCCATTGCTGCCGAGAAGGATGGCCAGGAGAAGCCCAAGATTGGTCCCGATGGAAAGGTAAGAGAAGCCAGCTTACCCCGCACTTTGGCACGCGAGCTCCCAACTAACAGATTATAGTACGTGATCCTCAAGGACTTGACCGAGAACCACGAGGAGACATGGCGCGCCATGGAGAAGCTCTACGCCGATGGCAAGGCTAGAGCCATTGGTGTGTCCAACTGGACCATCCCCCAGCTTGAGGCCATGGCCAAGTATGCCAAGGTCCAGCCCATGGTCAACCAGATTGAGATCCACCCCTTCCTGCCCAACGATGAGTTGGTGCAGTACTGCTTCGCTCATAACATTCTCCCCCAGGCCTACTCGCCTCTGGGCTCGCAGAATCAGGTCCCCACGACGGGCGAGCGGGTCAGCGAGAACAAGGTTCTGAACGCCATTGCCGAGAAGGGCGGCAACACACTCGCTCAGGTTCTGATTGCCTGGGGCCTGCGTCGTGGTTACAGTGTTCTTCCCAAGAGCTCTAACCCCAAGCGCATCGAGTCCAACTTCAAGAGCATTGAGCTCAGCGATGCTGATTTCGAGGCTGTCAACGAGGTTGCCAAGGGCCGTCACTGCCGCTTCGTCAACATGAAGGATACCTTCGGATACGACGTCTGGCCCGAGGATTCTGCCAAGGGTCTGTCCCTTTAGATTTTGTCAATTTACAGCAAGACGAAAATAATATCCCCAAATCGGGGAATTTGGGTGGAAACGATTAGATGAACCAACGAACTCTGTTAGATGAATCGGACATACCATTGATCTCACTCTATGAATTTCTGCTCCGCCGTAAAATGTCCGAGGTCCGGACATTACTGTGTACAACATACTCGGGATCTTTTGAGCCGCTTTCATTTGATCTTGCACTAATCACCCAATCTCACACACCGGCTGCCACAACCTTCACTCCGTAGGTCCAACCCCCCGCCAGGATCCACCTATCAACAATGTCTACGTCCAATGAATGAGATGAGACAAACTGAACCAAACTAGAATAAGATTGCCCAATTTCAAGAGAACATGGTATTCTAATCGAAAAGGGAAAGTTACAAAATTTGCAAAAAAAGCACTTGTAATGTATATTGTACTTAGGTACCTAGGTACATTGTAGCCTTGACCAATGAGGAAAGCAAATCCCTCCAATGAGGAAAAAAATAAGGTAAAAAAAATACAAAGGACCCGACAAGCCGTGAGGTTACACTGTACCTGACAAGCTAACACACCGGAACTAAGGTGACAAAAGCGGCCAAAGATGTACCGTTGTATAATTTGTATACAAATCTGAATGTTCAAAGGGTGCAGAACAATTACTCGAAACGGATAGCATCTGCCCAGGAGCAGTGTGCTCCGAGCCCTGCGGACGATGTCATCTCGCGTTGACTTGTGGCTCTCGGAATCCGCTGCGCCACTCAAGGGGCTTAGCGTTCTCGCGCGCTTACCGCATTGGGTCTTAGCGTTGCTGACTACGCTTGAGTCCCGGGAGATGTCGGATGGGCATTAAGTTATGGGAATCTCGAGAATGGGATGAGAGACCGGTGTCTAACACCGACGTGCCGAATAAGGTAATGAGTCTTTGGGTCGGAGCACATTGGCCTTTCTGTTGACTTTGTACTCCGTGCAGTTTCCTCATTGAATGTTGCTTAGCGCGTTAGTCTTTATTTACGATTGGTTGACCCGTCTATGTATCATACTAGTAAGTGGGATGTCGAAAGGGTTCCTTCCCATTCGGCCGATCAGGGACGGGATTTACATATGTTGGGATTTAATGCCTCACTTCTTTGGTAATGAGACACTCTTTGACTTTTGATTTGAGACTTTTGGGTCGGGTTCTGCGATACCGAGTGAGATCGGGAATCCCGATTGAGCCGATAGGGAAAGGACTTAGATTGCATCCAAGGTGGATGACCTGTTTCCTAGCTTCCAATAGAGAGTAATTGGTGTTGATGGTATCTGCAGCATACGTAGACTGCATTAATAGACTGCACTTTGAGAGTGGTGCAGTCTGATGGAGTATCTATATTGGACATGCTCATAGTACCCATAGTACCACATACCACATACGTAGTCGCTGCGTAGTAGGGTACCATATGAGATACAACTGCATCTACAATGTACTTGTATGACAGACGCAAATCCCACAGCCAACGTGCAGACTAGCTCTGGGCTCTTTGCAAATATCAAAGAGATCAACATGTATCAGCTAGAACTGCAAATACCAACCTTGGTAACTCAATTCGAAAAAAAAAAATATATGCAAGCCACTGCATGAGGGATCGTCAATGGGATAAACATCCTGTCCGCTGCAATATCCCCCACGGGTAGAGCCTAGAGCTTGTCAAAGCGGCTACGTGCATAATCTATCTAGGAGGGCGCGACTCGTCTTTGCAACCCAAGCACAGTCGGAGAATGAGAACAGGGAAACCTTCCAAGATTGGATTACCTCTCTAACGATCCCGATGCTTGGAGGGGCAGAGTGGCGTAACGGCACAGACGTCACTCTGCATAGGGCAGGTGAACCGTGCAGCTACTGATCTTATCTTGATCAAGATGAAGTAAAAAAGTTCAAGTTCGTTTCTGCATACATAAGAAAAAAACGAGCAATTGGTATCTTGAAACACAAGGAACTCCGCGGATAAATAAAGAGTGTCAAAACGGGAGAGTATAAAAAAACCGTAGACCGGCCAGCAGGGTATAGAAGTCGTAAATTCCGATCATAATTGCACCATTTTCGGTGACAATCAAGATCTAGACCGAACGCGCCGAGCCGTGGGCGTGCACCCTGCGCTCATCTGAAGCATACTCTGTCGCTCCCCATCATCTGTGCTTTTTGAGCTGCGAGTGGGGATCCCACTGACGAAAGGCTGATCCGCGGTGTTATTGGCACTCTTGGAGGCTCGTGCGGGAAGCTTGGATGAGATGGGCGATTTGGGAGTAAGCTTGCGGCGGCCCTTGGTAGGTGTGGAGGGGGCAGCAGCCATGGCGTCCGAGGCTGCAGGAGGCTTGCTTGTGCTGCGGCTTCCAGTCTTGACTGGAGTGCCAGACCCTAAGATGCCCGAGTCGCCCAAACGCCTCACCCGGCGTGAGCGCGGGGTTACAGTAGTAGGTGCAGTAGTCGGAGCAGTTAAACCGCTCTCGGTGGCCCCGCTATCTGCCCTTTCGTTTGCCTTTTGTGTTTGGCTACGGCTGCTGCGATGGCCAGACTCTGCTTTCTTCGCCGGACGCTTGCTTTCTGGTCGCGGACGAGGCGTTGCGCCCACGTCATTTGTGCATCGGTCATCCTCCTCTTCACCTTCCTGGATGTAAAGTGGTTCCCTATATTCTTCATACTCGGCCATGCGCTCCTCATTCCATGACACTTGCTTTCGCGGTTTGGTCAGCTCACGGAAGTTAGTGTCCTTGTGATTCGGACCCTCATTCTGGGAGTTGACCGGCTGAAGCTCTTCCTCGCGGGATTGCTGAGCCATAGCTTCCAGGACGACCGTGGGAGTTACAGACTTGCCTCTGTTGAGCCGAGTGTTGCGCTTGGTGGCCATAGCCACTTGCTGGGTTTCAGTTCGCTGTAAGAAGACGAACTCTGTGCCTTTGGCTCGGCGAAGTGAGATAGTGTTGCGCATGTTAGGGGTGCTCGAGCCTTTGGCACGAGTGCTTCGACGATATGCAGGGCTTGAAGGAGCTTGTTCTTCCCGGATTTCTTTGGGAATGATATCCTCCTGATCATCGGCACCATCGGCGCCACGCTTGATGTCATATTTACTAGGAGAGATTTGCAGCTTCACAGGTGAAGGTGAATTGGTTGTAAGTTCCTCTAACACGCGGCGCGATGGCGGTGTTGGGCATTGAATTTCTGGCGACTCTTCTGGGCTGGAAGACGTCTCCGTTGGTTTCACATCCTGGGGATGTGTGGCCTTGGCGGCCCGCTTCGCATTCGCCCTCGACAGGAAGTCATTGAGCAGCTCTGCATCCTCTCCATCTAAGGAACTTCGCAGTGCCGATCGGACCAGCTTCTGCTCTTGTGTCAGGTCTTGTACAGACTCAGTGGGGGACACGACAGTGGTCTTGTCTTCTCCTGCATTGTCGATCACAGCTGGCGCGTCTTGGCTGGATGGTCCAGACTGTAGGTCCTGTGCTACCTTTGCGTCGGATGTTGTGTGATATGAGTCTGTCGCCATAGTGTCATTGCAGACCGGCATCGTCGAGGTCTCTCGCATATCGCTAAATGGCTGGGGTGACACATTCGTAGCTACGTCGCCAGCATCTTTGCGGTTGCCCTCGGGCTGGTTCGAAGTGAAACCAAAAACCTCTTGGGGGACATCTTCGTGTATGTTGAAATTGAATTCGGGCATTTTGCCTGCAAGCTATCAGATGAAAGGCCTTTCTAAATGTGGGAGCACAGAATGCGATGCGTGATGTGTACACAGCTCGCAATATATAGAAGAATACTTACGTCGTTTCCGGGACGCCTGCATCTCCCATTTAGTCTCGAGGAAAGACCGACCACGTTGCTCAGCTTCGGTCTCCTGGTCTGCCTCGGCGGGGTCAACACACTGGCGCTTCACGCCGCGCTGATAATCCGAGTTTTTAGAGGCGCCAATTCCCGAGGCCTGACCTCCTGTCGCGGCACTCATGCCGGTAAACGGAAAGCGAATTCGCTTCCACAGCTTTCTTGTCTTGTCTCCAGCCCGCACAGGCGTCGAAGGTTTGCGATCCCACAGTCGCGGCAAGGCGCTCAGAGCTTTGATAGGTGTGAAACTGAAGGAACTCTCAACAGGAGGGTTGGTTGAGCTGTAGACGCGTGTTTGCGTTAGTCCAAGTCTATATGGCGGTGGGTCTTGAAATATAGGGGAAAAGAGGAAAAATAGAGGAGACAAAGCCCCTGAGTAACAAGCGCAAATAATCCTTTCGATACAAAGAAAACAAACATAATTTAGAAAGGCAGAAAGAGCTGACATACCATGGTTGCGGCGAGGGAGGGTGGTTCTCCATGTTTATTGACACGCGTGGAATGTGTCAAAGCCGTTGGAACTTGATTTGGCAACGAGCTGAATGGATAAGATGAACCTCGTAGCCCAGGTTATTTAATAAAATGCTGGAAAAAAATATGTAAATCGAAGGATGCAACTCAGTGTGCCCCTCAGTAAATTGTCGGATTGTCGTGATGGATGCGAAAGTGAAGCGGGCCGTTGTGGTTTTGCTTTGAGGCCCTATGATCCGTTACCCTGCCAACCACCGCATGGGAGAGCCTTGGGCATATCGTCAAGTATAGAACCTCATTCGAAGTCTTGTGTCCGGTGGTTCCATTGCAAAAATTGCCAAACTTCATAAAGGGAAGAATTTGTAGATATTATTGGCTGTATATCTCAGTCAACGAAAATACTTGTCAACTACTAGACAGCTGCAAACATCAATTGAGGAAAGCCTAGGGGAAAAAACCAGCTTGTGGAATCATACAGTGACTCTGAGAGTCTCTACGTCTGACAGATATATTTTCCTAAACGTCGGGCGTAGGATGTCTCTCTGGAATCGCCATATACAAGGGTAGCAGTCAGCAGCGCCCCCAGATAGCATGAAATGAGCCTGGAATAGCTTTCTTTTACACTGCATGGCACTGATGAAAGCAGTTCCGCCTATGAATGCCCCGCACGGGTGAGCAGACACTGCCGACTCATCGTAGACTAAATGTGACCAAAGAACTGCAAGCTTAAGAATCAAGTCGTATCTCGTTATTCATATCGTATACTGCCCAGATGGCAGACAATCTCCGAGCGTGCAGAGACTCATAGCAACTTCTCCGCCAAGTCACGTTCATCAAAAGGGTCCCCAAATTCATCTGAATACAAGGCAGCCAGTCAGCATACTTTGAAGACATCCACGGATGAGGCATAGTCCAAGTTAGACTGGCTAGATGTAGAAAACCACTAGAAGACCACATACCTAGCTTGAAGTCTTTATCAACGACATACTCCATAGCGCGCTGGTAGTCTTCTTGAGCACGCTTGCTCTTCCACGCCGCGATACTCGACTCAAACGTCTTTTCCGCAGGTTGTCCTCCGCCGTGTTCCAGTGCAGTCCCAATATCACCAACAGAAGTGCCAGCATCTTGCTTTGTCTGGGAGCCGGGAGGGGAAAGCTCCGATACGTCAACGCCAACTGAGGAAGCTTGGTTGGTGCCGGTCGGAGTGCGGGCGCCAGTTCTAGCACCGTCGTCGGGGCGGATGGAGTCGACGGAGGAGGTCATTGTAGAGTCACCGTCTGGGTCTCTGGGGTCTAGCAGGCGTGTGTCAATGGATGTAGCTCCGGGTTTGGTGTTTGTAACAAGGAAGAGGCGGGTGCATATGTGGGTATGGAGCGCTATCGATATCGCCGGGCCCACTGTGTTCGCTCGGCTACATCGTATAGCTTGAGATGAAATAGAGAAAACCTACCAATCGCCATTGTTAATCAGAAATTCACGAAAAATGGGTTAGATGGTTGAATTGTAGTTCTCAAAGTTCTTCCAAACTTCAAGCGGGGAGTGGAGAGAGATCAACGGTCGACAGGCGGTGGCCCCGTCTCGCATGAATTTTCTTTTTCTTTCTTCCTCAGCTGTATACTACATGAACATATGGACTATTAGCCCTTGTTATTAGGCTATATATTTTCATTGGATTTGTTTTTGATATCCTTCCCCCTTCTCAATCCTGCTCCATCATTCTGTGTGCAATGAGCGCAAACTCCGGTGCAGTTCCCGATGCCTGGGAAGATTCATGGGAAAATCAAGCAGATGTATGTAATACTCCCGCACTATGTGACCTTTGATACAGACACTAGTCTGCTGTTTAAGTTTACTCAATGCTTGCGAACTATGAATGGCACGCTGATTGTCATCGTTTATAGACACTTGACTCCAAGTCTACCCCGCCAGCTGAGAAGAAAGTCTCATCCAAGGTGACCAAGGCGCAACGCAGGGCAGAACAGGCAGAGTTCAATCGCCAGCTATGGGCTGAAGCGTAAGTTTCAATCGCTAGTTAGCTCCTATCGCATTTCCATGGGTTGTTCAAGAGGCTGAACTAGGTTGCAGTGAATCCACAGAAACATTTCACTTTGTTGAAGCGCGCGCCGATGTTCCTCTGAAACAAGACTTCAAACCCGCGGTTACGCTGCTGAGTCGAAAACCTCAGCTTATGACAAGACATTCATCATCCTCGAGAACAATCACTGCAGCGGCAGCTGGACTTGACCGACTTGGACTAGACGAAGATGACGACTCGGACGATGACACCAAGCCGCCTCAGCCAACACCCGAGGAGCGCCATGCTATTGCACTGAAGAATCGGGAGGAGAAGCAGCGGAAGTACGAAGAAGTGCGCGAACGTCTGTTTGGAAGCCCATCTGCTACAGCTTCGGGCACCTCGTCGCCTGGCAGTACGACCCCGCCACGTCAAACTCCTACAGGCGAGGGCAGAGGTAGAGGCAAAGGACGTAGCGGTGGAAGAGATCACCAGAAGAGAGATTCCTCGTCAACCTCGAGTAAATCCAAACATCTCTACGATCCTTCTACCGCGGCCAAGTCAAATGCACCCTTCCTACAAAGAGGTGGCCGTCCGCAGGTTGAACGAAGCGGTTCTGACACTCAGGCTCCACAGCAGCCGGTGCGCAGTCCTCGAGGCCCTGATGCAAGTGGAAGAGGTGGCTTCAATTTCAACAGAGGTGCTCGAACAGGCTAATTTACATTTGTCTCATATCTTCTCATGTCATGATACTGGCCGTCCGATACATCCTTTCTGTTTTCACGGAAGACCTCGTCCTGCGTTAATTGCATTTGCCACCTGGGATGTGTTTGGACGATTCTCTGTGACATGAGGTGTTAGCAGTGCCATCAAGAAAAGCCATGCGACACTTACGGGCATATCGCTCATAGCTGTCGTGGTACAGCTCATCCGTACTAGTTGTCGCCTGCACATGCTGGTCGGTCTCGATTGCATTCATCCAAGAGGCCAGTCTACTTCCCTCCTCGGCATCTGGCCATCCTCGGTATGGTTTCAGGACCCGCCGCAGCCGAATGATCCACGGGGCAGCTTGGACGTCCACAAGAGACATTTGTGGGCCCATGAAGAAGGGCCCCTTGGGATGCGCCACTTCGAGCAGCTTCTCCATCGCATCTCGCAGCTCCTGTGTCTTCTCGATCTGTTTATGTTGATCCTGCTCTTGCAGTACGCGGTAGAAACTTGGCACTATATGCCGATTGACCTGGAGGGCTATCAGTGATGATCACCAGAGACCTGTCTGTCTACTTACATGATCCGCCCACAACCGGCAATGGGCGCGCAATTTTGGGTCTCCTGGAAGCATTGCAGCCCCCACGCCTAGATCCTCTAGCTGCGAAGGATTGATCAGTGAGGGAAACGGGAAAGTGATCCTTCTGTTCTCTTACATATTCCAACAACACATTGCTTTCATAGCATCCCCAGTCGTCGTGCCGCAAAGCAGGAACAAGCCCTCTTGGATTTACTTCTAACAGCGACTGGGGCTTCTCGTATGGATCTACTTCGATGTACTGGTATGGAATACCCTTAAGTTCCAATGCAATCCATACTCGTTGAACGAAGGGGCTTCAAATATGCAGGCCAAGTCAGTACACAGGAAGCTTTTGTCATAACAAGTGGAATTTGAGGGGGGATCTCACCAGAAGCAGCTCCCATATAGCTTGAGATTAACATCAGCAGAGTGCTTAATGGCAGTTTCAGCGGCTAGACCCGTCGCTTTTGTATGGTATGACTTTTGGGCTGCTCGAGACATAACTCGGTCCTATTATGAATCCTGTGTCAAGGCTGCACAATTCAAGAAAAACTAGGAATTGAATTAAAATGTTGAGAGACTTGATCTTTGGTGTGAGAAGTATGAAGTCAAATGTAGAATTGTGACGTAGCCAGGATCATGCGGGGGTACTCCAAAAAAGAACAGAACGAAACAGGATTGACATACCACTCTCGTCCTTTTATCTTTCTTTTCCTTCAGGATGAATCGCTGGACGCTATTCTTCTTGACACGATCACTTTCTTCAAGCGTATGTTGATGGCCGCCACTCACGCCATCATTCTTCCCATTGGCGCCGTTGCCATTCACCCGCTGGATGGTGAAATATCTCCCACCATTTGACCCGGGATGATTTGGTGGTAGATCGGGGTTCGGCGTGGGCATACCGAATGTTTGGGCATTTCGGATCGCCGAGTCGTCATTCAGAGAAAAAGTATACATACCAGGTAGGAGGTTAGATGGCAAGGGCTCGACTGCATGGGTCATATTTGATATTTCAGACACTGGGAAGTACTCCACGACTTTGATTTTGACATGGCAGAGATCCCGTTCTCTGGCTGTACGCTTGCGTTTCTTCTTTTCTGGATCGTCAGATTTGGGGGTTCCGGGTGGTCGTCCTTTCAGCCGACAGTCCCAGTAATGGGAAACGAATGGTTTACGCTTGTACCGCTGGGTTGAGCGATGAGAGTAGACGTTGTCAACGTGGGGAAAGTAGGTTTGGAATCTTCAGAAGAACAAGTGCATGTCAGCCTCTCAGTAAGGTAGAAAGTATTCATGGAGTCTGCATACTCCTCTTCGCTCAAGGTGATCATTTCATCAACATTGAACAACCTGTCTCTCCAGTAATCTAGATGTGGAGGATTCGGGACCACCTTGAAGCCTTGCAGCTCCCCAGGCCCAGTGAAGCCCATCGGGCCCACGGAGCCAGTATCTAGCTCGGTAAAGTCTGGTTGGAACTGCTGGCTCGAGGGTTGCAGCGTTGTCAAGCTGTTATTCTGAGCTTGATGCGCATTGTTCCCCATAGCTAGCTCGTTTGGGGACAGCGACCCTGGAGGCGCCATTTGTCCAGCAGCAGCCCGACGCAACGCCCCGCTTATATTCGCTGCCTGGCCGACGCCATTGTTGTAGGCCTGCGATTGATGCAAGCCACTGGAGGATTGCCCTTGCGGTGGTAAATGCGAGGCAACTCCATTGCTAGGATGACCTTGGGGCGTTTGGTGCTGCTGTGTGGATTGCGACGAGGTGAAGTTGTTCGACTCATCTGATTGTGGACGAATAAACGCGTGTCTCGCATTCTGGAGCTGCGATTCGGCTTCGGTCGGGGGACGGAATGGCCCGAAGGATTGCGATTCCGGGTCAAACTGGTCCAACTGTAGGTTAGATTGATCATTTATTGGCATAGAAGGCCCTAAGCGGGGCGGTGATAGTCGCAGCTCAGAGTCCATCGTGTAAACAATATTAAGTTGTGGGGAGGCGTGCTGCTTTTGAGGGGAAGAAAGACGGTTGAAGCGGCGTTGTGGGGTTAAGGAAAGCTCGGATCATTATCAGGTTCTCAAGTAAAAGACATGCCAGGGAGTTTATAAGGCCCCTTTTTTAAAATTGATCATGAGCAGTATATTATTTTATTTCAAGGATTGGTATATCGAGATACCATCTATTCGCGTTGAATCCGTGCAATATTGATTTCAATGAACAGCACATCGAGAGCTTAAAGACCCTTGCCATGTTTCTTTGCTGCCTCCGAATTCTTGAAAGGGTACCCCGTCGTTCTCTTGTCTGCGCCCGTACGTCGACTGATTCTGCCATGGCTGCTAGCAAATAGCATACACCACAGCCCAATGGCAGCAATACTAGAGTATCCAGCGACACCAACAGTAAAGAGACCCGATCCACCGGAAACATACCACGTGTATGCGTAGAAAGCACATGCGCTATGAAAGATAGAGGTCACCATCAGAGTCGGCACAGCATATGGCGCCTTGGGATCGTCCTCCTCTGCTGTCACAGACTCCTTGGTGTCGGATGTCAGAGGGATGGAACCGGTAAGCATCACGGTCAAAACAGCGATAGTCAGAAGGCTGAAGCCGAGACATCGGGCGAAGTACAATTCCATGGCTTTTGAAGGGCGAAAGGTTAGCATGGCTCGCAAATGGGTGAGCGCGGCACTCAGGCTATGAGCCACATACGGGAAGCAGGCCGAGTCTCATCCAACAACATGGTGACGATCATGCTTGGTCCGGCAATCAAAGGTAAGCTCTGAAGGGTCAGCCATGCGGCCGTCGAGTATGTGTAGGCGCGAAAGACCTGCTCAGTTAGTTTTCAGCTCCGATTTTGATGTCTATCTTCCAAAACTTTGGAGACAGTGATAGTATTGGCTCACATCCATGGTGGCAGCTTGCCGGTATGGATTTCAATGACCGAAATCTTCTTGCTGCTTTGAAGTTGCTCGCGTCTGAAATAGTCAGGTCCTGAGAAGGTCAAGCTTCCAAGGGATCCTTTTTCAAGGCTGAAGCATTATAAGCAAGTGACGTCATATAGACACGGAGCTGTTTGGTTTGTTTGCAACTGTTCAATCTGTGCTCTATACAACATACCGAGTACAACATACGTACATCCATGTCCCAGGTTCTATATATGTTGTACACCAGTCTCACAGATTAATCTAAAGAATCTCTGGAGATATCTGTTTACAGACCACTAGGAAAACCACCCAAAAGACATCACAAGGCCACATAAGCAGTCACTACATCAAGACAAAGATCAACCTACGTAGATCAAGATGATGTTTGATTACTCTGATATATTGACTAGGTTGAATGCAATAAATGAAATGCGCCCCACAAGACCACAAACGCCTCAAGACCAAAAGACCCCTTTGAAAATGATTGAGACTCATCAAATGCCAACTTCTGTCTTATGGGAGATTTTACTGTTGCATACTGCTTGCACGCAGATATCTTGTGAAGCTGTTGTCCTGCTCTGTTGGAGCACTTTGAGAGCCTGCCAGAGCCTCCTGGTAGCGCTGGGAAAGACCCTCGTCATTCCCAGCATTGGGGCCCACATAGTCCTCGTAGTCACTGTCTTCTCCATCTGCCAACCCGCGCTTGATAATCTCGTCTTCTTCATCTTCAGCTTCGCTGACAGTCTCAGGCTCTGCGGCGGGCTTCTTTGACATCTGTCTGCTTGACCCAGACACATTCATGTCTTTCATTAATTTTCCAAGTTCAAGCTCCTGCTGGGATGACTTCTGATCTTCCCGCTCTTTCTTCTTGCGCTCTAATTCGGGCTTGTAATCACGTTCAAACTCCTGCCGTTTCGTCTCGACGGCCTCGAAAAACTCTTCGACACCATCGCCGGTCATTGAGCTGACGCCAACGACGCTCAGGTGTCGATAGAATTCCTCCAGCATGAGACTCATGCTGTTCAGAAGGGAGCCCATGTACCCACTGCCGGATCCAAAGCCACCGGCACCACCTTCAGCCCCAAAAGCACCTGAATCTTCCTCCTGACGCAGAGCCTGCTGGAATGCATCAAAGTCGGTCATCCATTCCTTGGCAAACTCAGCATCCTTAACGTCAGTCTTGTTGAAAACCAAGATCATGGGGAGCTTGGTCTTGTACAAGATACTGCACGCGTAGAGCATGTTGCTCATAAAGGTGCTGGTAGAGCTCGCGCGAGGTGTATCGATAACATATGCGATGACTGTCGGGAATGATGTCGCCATAGTCTCGAGAAGAATACTACCCGATGCACTCCAGACGAATACTTCAATTTGGCCAGGTGTGTCGACCAGAATGTGTTCGATGGGCTTTGCGGAAGGGTTTTCGGGGTTCGGGGCAGTGCGTTTCTCCAAGAGTGAAATGATTTGATCGACCTTGGTGGCGAACAAGTTTAACGAGGTCAAGATGCCTCCATTCGGACCCAAGTTGTACTGTTTCATCACTTCTTTGTAATTAATGGAGTCGCGAATATCGATGTTGCTCTCGAAGGGCACCGAATGCACCGCGGGGTCGAGGTTGACCACATACGGCACTGTCTTCTTTTCATGCAGGTAGGAGTTGATTCTTTGCATGAAGGTAGTCTTTCCTGAGCCTATTCAATCCATAACATTGACGATTAGACCAATTCAGATAAGTGAGGGGCGATCAGCATATCAGCATCCTTACCTGCCATGCCCACGCAGACCACGGACACTGGAGACGGCATGGTGGAGGTAGTTTATAAGAGAAAAAAAAAAGCCGACTGAGCGATCAAAATACAAAGACTTATGTGGTCGAAGTGAATGGCTCAAGAGTGGAAGACAAGTGAAGAAAGATAAGCTTCTTTTTTCTGCTCGAAATCTTTTTTTTGTCGCGGGGAAAGATCTACGGCTGGACCGCCCGGCATTTTATCAACGTCATTCCAACTTTTGCCCTTGACTTCAGCTCCATCCATTTTTCACTAATCAGGAGCAACATGACTTTAGAAGACTTCGAGAAGTCATTGGCAGAGGGGAAAGAGGAGCGGCACGAAAAAAGCGAAGGGCGACATCATCGAGACCGAAACCGCGATCGCGACCGCAGCAAAGAGCGCTCGAGACACCGTCATCGTTCCAGCCACCATCACCGGCGGCATTCTTCCAGATCCCGCGATCGCGACAGCGAGCGAACTCGTGAGTCCCGGCATCGCGACGATGATGGCCACCGGCACAAGCGTTCACGTCGTTCCGACGATCAAGGAGACGAGCATGGCCATAAACGCCATCACCGGAGCTCCAAAGACGAGGCGGGATCCACTGCTCCTTCAGTAATAGTACAAGAGGAGCCTAACAATCTGAAACGTGACGCCTGGATGGAAGCGCCGTCGACTCTCGACGTCGATTATGTTCATCGACCGGATTCGACGCGACAGGAGGAGCCGAAACCAATAATGCTTGCAGCAGACTATGAACTCAAAATCCACGAAAAGGAGCTCAACGACCATCTACGTGATCTTAAGAATGGAAAAGCAGTCGAAGAGATAGAAGATGAGCCTGCTCAGCACGAGGTGGACTATACCTTTGGGGACTCAGGATCACAATGGAGAATGACCAAGCTCAAAGGGGTATACAGAGAGGCGGAAGAAAGTGGCAGGCCTATCGATGATGTTGCTATTGAGCGTTTTGGAGAGCTTCGCGCTTTTGATGACGCTCGGGAGGAGGAAACCGAGATTGACCGGCGCAAGACGTATGGACAGTCCTATGTGGGCAAAACTAAACCCAGCGGGGAGCTGTTCCAGGAAAGGAAACTTCAAAAAAACATTCGAAGAGATCCGCTTGAACATATTCGGGATCCAGAACAAGAGCTCAATGCCGAAGGCCAAGGCAAGAAAATGGATACTGTTCCACCTCCCAATACTACCCGCCACCTCGACCTGACAGCATTGAATCGTCTGAAAGCCCAGATGATGAAGGCAAAACTCAGAAAAGCACCAGATGCCGCCGCTCTTGAGGAGCAGTACAATATAGCCGCGGCAGCCATGTCAAACCGCAAGGAATCTGATGTCGTGGTCCTTGATGTCATGCACAACCGCATGCTAGCAGGCTCGGGGAATGAGGTAAAAGCCATCGATACGAAGAGGGGTCGTGAAAGGGGCCTAGTAGAAACAAATGAAGATATGAGCATTGAGGATATGGTGCGAGAAGAGCGCAAAACGCGTGGCCAGCTCGGCGGAGAGGGCCGGCGGTTGGCAGATCAAATTGGCCGTGATGCCAAGTTTGAGGTCAGTTTTAGTATCAATTGTGACGAGAACTGTCTCCCTTGCTAACCTACACCTAGAACGATTTGGAGTATATGGATGACAATGCATCCAAGCTGGCCAAAAGAGTTCATCGATCTGAGATTGATCTCAAGAACACAACAATCAATGACTTCCACAAGATGAACCGGATTTTGGATAACTGTCCTCTTTGTCACAACGAAAACAAGGGCACGCCTCCACTTGCCCCGGTGGTATCCCTTGCGACCAGGGTCTTCCTCACACTTCCTACGGAACCCGAGATCAGTGAAGGAGGTGCTACCATCGTACCAATCCAACACCGCACTAATTTGATGGAATGCGATGACGATGAGTGGGAAGAAATTCGCAACTTTATGAAGAGCCTCACGCGTATGTACCACGACCAAGGTCGAGATGTAATCTTCTACGAGAATGCAGCCCAGCCACAGCGCAAGCGACATGCATCCATGGAAGTTGTGCCTTTGCCTTACAGTCTAGGAGAAACAGCGCCCGCTTTCTTCAGGGAATCAATTCTCAGTGCCGAGTCGGAATGGTCGCAGCACCGCAAGCTTATCGATACCCTTGCCAAATCAAAACAAGGGCTTGGTCGGTCTGCCTTCCGCCGGACCCTTGTGAAGGAAATGCCTTACTTCCACGTTTGGTTCGAACTAGACGGCGGCCTGGGTCATATCGTGGAAGATGACAACCGCTGGCCTCGTGGAGACCTTTTTGCCCGGGAGATCATTGGAGGAATGTTAGACGTTGCTCCGGACGTCATCAAACGACAAGGGCGCTGGAACCGTGGTGATCGTAGGGTTGATGGATTCAGAAAACGCTGGAAGAAGTTTGACTGGACCCGTATTTTGGTTGAAAGCTAATGAGCTTGAAACTACCCTCTCAACATACTGTACTGTACACGCATATGGCTAGACATATTTATTTGGACCGTAGGGACTTCATTTCCAACCTTCGAAATAAAACTCGCCATTGTTTCGGACTTTTCCCCCAAGACTCAATACGACATATCTAACACTAAACTAAAGATGAGAACATCACTCATGGCCAACATCTTAATCGTCAAAAGATAAAGACATCGGCATTCAAGCCGATGGCTACGGTACGAGGCACCGACTACTCCGCAGTTGAGTAGAAGTTTATCTCCCTATGTTGAAGAGATTAGCAGAGCCGGTATGAGTTTCGGGATCTTTCAAAGATCAATCATGACAATACTATAGGAGACTGGACATTTGCTAGTGTGCATACTCCGGTCTCTTCCCTTTCACCAGCCAAGTCATGTAATTTTGAGCCGGGGACTTGCCCGATAAGCGTGGGGTACTTTCTCTTGTTCTCGGCCGATGCTTCTGACAATTTATGATGTGACTCTTATTAACGCGAGTGTCTCTCCTAACTCCTATACCTTAGAATCTATTTGGGTCTTCAGATTCCTCCTGCAACTAGATCAATTAGCGCTTGCTTATCGGTAAGATCAAATTTATGTCAAGAGAAGGCGTCGGAACAATACGACCCGAACTAAAATCGGAGAGAGAATCTTTTCGAAAATTGGCTTGAAGTTGTTGATCTGGCATCACTATATATTCCCCGCCAAATCGCTAATTGTGTCGCTCAAAACAGGATCAACTATTATCAATACATCAGAATGAGTTCTACCGGTCCCAAGCCTAAGGTGCTACACCTCGGGAGTATTGACCAGTGTGTCCATCCCATTCCTTTGCGACATTGACACATATTGCATGATATTGACATTATTCGAACATAGTGCGCAGGCAGCCTGGAGTGCATTGGGTGAATTGGCAGAGCTAGTTGAGTCCACAGCAACTAACCGGACCGAGTTCATCCAAGAGTGCAAAGACGGCAAGCTGGATGGTGTCGTTGCGATATACCGAACAATTGGCTCTATAACCCAGACAGGGCTTGTAGACGAGGAGCTATTGAATGTGCTACCAAGCTCACTCCGATATATCGCGCACTGTGGTAGGTCAAACGTGGGATGTAAGTACTGTATATGCTGACATGGAGCCTCTATAGGATCCGGATATGACCAAATAGACGTTCATGCCTGCAGCGCACGCAACCCCCCAGTCCGGGTTTCCAATGTCCCAACGGCAGTAGACGATGCCACTGCCGACGTGAACATGTTCCTGATACTTGGCGCATTGCGCAACTTCAACGCCGGTATGAACGCCCTGCGCGAGGGCAAATGGCGCGGAAATCCCGCGCCTCCTCTCGGTCATGATCCCGAAGGAAAGGTCCTTGGGATTCTGGGAATGGGTGGTATTGGACGTAATTTAAAAAAGAAGGCAGAGGCCTTTGGAATGAAGGTCATCTATCATAACCGCCGCGAGCTCAGTGATGAGATGTCTGCAGGTGCTCAATATGTTTCTTTTGATGAACTCTTGTCCACCAGTGACGTGGTCAGCTTGAATCTGCCATTGAATGTAAGTGTCTTCCATTCCCGGATAGAAATGGAAGATGTTTCGATGCTAATTGTTTGAAGAAAAACACACGCCATATTATCGGCAAAGCCGAGTTCGCTAAGATGAAGGACGGTGTGGTTGTGGTCAACACTGCCCGCGGCGCTGTCATGGATGAGGCTGCTCTGGTTGATGCCCTGGATAGTGGTAAAGTGTTCTCAGCTGGTCTGGATGTGTTCGAGGAAGAGCCTAAGATTCATCCTGGGCTACTCAGTAACCAGAATGTAATTCTGGTTCCGCACATGGGCACTTGGACCATTGAGGTGAGTTATGTATTTTTCCATGAAGAGAGTATGAAGCTGACTTGTCAAAAGACGATTCGCGCGATGGAAGAATGGACAATTGGAAACATTCGTATGGCTCTTGAAGTTGGAAAACTTAAGAGCCCAGTTCCGGAACAGGCGGACCTTTAAGGGCACTTGAAGAGTATTGGGCGCATTTGTTTTGATAATTTATAGCATAGTAAATTGTATCTACATACGAGCCTTGGACACTCCAAGATATGCACGCAAAACTGAGCCTTGAATGCTTGAGACACACACGCTAACATCATAAGTGAGAGCTCAGAGATGCGTATATGTTTCTCCACTCTATATATTTCACTGGCTCAGCGGCCCATATTTAACGTTTTTTTACAGAATAGAGGCTAGCACAACCCCCTTATGTTTACTAGCTATGTTCAAAAACATTATTCTCATAAAGGATGAGCGTGTATTCTTCCTTAACGTTGATTATATTGAACGGTAAACTACCCATCGTGTTTCTCCGCATTGTAGTTTTCTGCCAGGCGATATCAATGCGATCAAAGTCTCAATCCACCTCTCTTATTTGAACATCTTCTACTTGAACTCAACACTCTGTTATGGCTGAATTTTGGAAATCAGCAGTAAGTGTGTACCATCACCCGTCTAGGATCTTGCTAACGATTTCACAGCCGCGTTACTGGTGCAAACAGTGCAAGATCTTCATCCGTGACACGCCCTTCGAGAAGACCCAACACGAAGCCAGCCCCAAACATCAAGGCAGCCTCAAGCGCTTTCTCAGACAAATCCACAATGACAATGAACAAAAACAAAGAGACTCACAACGCGCGAAAACCGAAGTCGAGCGGTTGCGACAGGCCGTGGGTGGCGGGCCCTCCACTGACAAAGACGGCGCGAAAGGAAGCGCCCCGCCAGCCCCCAAATTTACAGAACGTCCTGCTTCCCTAGAGGAGCGAAAGAAACAGATGGCCCAACTCGTGGCAATGGGTGTGGCCATTCCCCAGGAATTCCGCGCTGATATGGCCTTAGCAGGGGATTGGCAAACCACATCCGAGACAACGATCGAGGTCCAACAGGGATTAGAGGGCCCCACAAAGTCAGTTGGCATACGCAAGCGCAAACTTGAAGGCGAGGAGGAGGATGAGCATGCCCCTGAACCTATTGTCAACAAAGGTTGGGGCTCGAGAATGAGACTATACCCAGGTGCACAAGAGGACGAAGACCTGGATGATCTGCTTGCATCCACTAAAGATATCAAAAGGACAAAAACCTACACCCCGAAGGTCGAGCTTGATGAACAGGAGAAAGTCATTGGACAACCCACCCTTATCGCAAAATCAGAAGATAATCCTCTCAAGCCAGAGCCCCGAGAGACGAATGAGTCAATCAAGGTCAAGACTGAAGAGCCCACTCAATCTTCAGTAGAGCCAGCCATTGAAGAGAAACCGCAAAGTGAAGATGCTGCGCCCGGTGTCGTTTTCAAGAAGCGCAAGCCGAAGACGATGAGGAAATAGTCGCACCTTGTGAGGATGTAATATCTGCAAAAGATCCTTGTCATGGCTCAAATATGAATGCAAGCCCATACCTTCAAGGATCACCCCGACGCTTCTGATCACCCTATATCTCCTGAGGCCTTGTACATCCAGCTCTGATCTGCTGGCCCGTGACCCCGCAAGGCTGTAAGTCTGCAACTATGTTGCTTTAAACAACAGGCACACATTGCACAACTTTCACTGTCCCAAGCGATTCAGAAATGTACCAAGGTCTTCCAACAAGATATTTGCGGCATGTACTACGCTCTCCAGGATGTACACTTTGAACCTGTCCATCCAGAAGATCATTTGCGAGGCCTATGATTTCTGTGCAAATGCCTCTCAAAGACATCCATTTATGTATGGGCACACGTGCTTCAATAAAGCATGGACCTCCGGCTATGTAGGGTTGAATCATGTCAACGCCTTTTCGCAGGACAATCTATAGCTTCTATGGATTTGGTCCATGTAATTGTACCAGAAGGGCTGAGAACGACATTAATTCGACTCTATGTTAATTTCAAGTAAAACCCAAGAGAATATTATCAGAAAGAGAACAAAAATCTCCCAAAACGAGTGTACATCAAAGTAAATCAAGTGAAAACAACAAATATCAAACCTCGGAATATGCAATGTTGGGGTAGAAAGCGGTGTTTGCCACTATAATTTTTTTTCCTTCGCAATCAAAGCGGAGAGTTTCATCGCCGGAAAGGAAAGCTCCTTAAGCCTCTCTTTCGCGCTTTTTCTGACCTTGGACTCTGGCATTTGCATAGTCTCCTTGTGATTTGTGTTTCCCTCGATCTAATTCTGTTAATCTCTTTGCCTGGTAAGTCTTGGAAATTCGAGCAAGTCGCGATCCCCGCCCTGCCAATCCCTATGCGCATCGCCTCGCGCCGGAGCCTCATCCTGTGCGATACAATATCCAGTATTCCTGCTGTCAAACAAGACCATTGAATACTGGATTCTACCCCGCGATGGCTTTCCGAGATCTGGATGTGAACAGATGGTTGAGGTTGGTCATCGCAAATGCGACCTACAAAACCTCAATTGGCTAGCAGGATATCTGGACATGTTAGGTGGATCATGGATACGGAACTTCGTACAAATGCACAGTTGCGCTCAGTACTATGTTCAACGCATGATTTAGTCCGATTGGGTCTAAAAGACGTTGGAACGGAGGGCCTGCGCTAGCACCGTGCTTCTTTCCTGGCCTGATCGACGACTCTACCCTCACCGCGCTCTCTTCTCTGCGGGACACAAAACACACAAGATTGCTGGCCGAATATTTTGACTAACGATTGCCGTACTCCACAGATTATAGGGAATAAATGATTTCTAACTCCCCATCCGTTCGACCTGGTGTGATCTCTTCGCTCAGCGACAAACCAGACGACCTTTGACCTTGTACACTCGAATACTCGAATACTCGAATACCTGAATACTTGAATACTTGGTCTTTACTCAAAGATCTTGTCTTCCCTACTTGCAAAATACCTACCAATTTCCTCAGCCCATCGAGACTTTCATTGGGAGACTGCGAATTCCAATATGGCGGAGCCGACGGACTCGAGCGCCCCGCCTGGCGAATCCACCAATCCTGCGACCGAACCGAATGCGCCAGCTGCTGAGGCAGACCAACCTTTAGCCAAGAATGAGCCGCTCCCAGTGGAAACGAATCACCCCCCAGTGGAAACAAACCAAGTACCGGCCGCGCCAGCACAATCAAACGAACCACAGCCAGCAGAACCAGCAGAACCACCACAGCCACAACAACCAGCACCATCAGAACCGCCAGTGGAATTAGCGGCGCCAGGGGTGCTAGCAATACCTGAAATGCCAGCAACACCAGAAGTGCTAGCAACGCCAGAAGTGCCAGCAGAGCCAAATCCGTCCGCAGGTCCACCACAGAATGCCAGCCCGTATCAGCCAGAAGAAGCCACGCAGCCAACACAAGGCCCGGACGTAACTTTACCGTCTGTTGAATCATCACTTCCAGCGATTGATCCATCACTTCCAGCCATTGATACGTCAAACGGCTTTGATGATTCAGAATTGCACTCCTTTGACGCGTTACCTTCAATAGGTTCATCTGCAGCCCCCGACATGTCACTTCCTGCGATTGATACAACTCTCCCCTCGCTCGATCATTCTTTACCAGCGATTGGAACCGATGATATCCCAACCATGGATGGCCATGATTTTGGTGACGATAGCCATTTGGGCCATCACGATTCGAATGCCGGTATGACAGATTCTACGGGGCATGACAATGGGGGTGTGAACGGCGCATCGCACTATCACTCGACCAACGGTTCATACCAATATTCGCATAGCCCTGCTCAATCGCAACAACCAGGAAGCCAGCAGTCACCGCAGACGCATACCCACCAGTTTCAGGCGCAACCGCAACATTATCAGCAAACCGACATGTATCACAATTCATCCCAAGGACAGGTACCACAGGCACCGATCGGATCTCCGCTTCCAAACAATATGCCCTCGATGGCTTCTATGGGACAATACATGGCTGGGTATCCCTCCAATATGGGAAATGCGCAAATGCGATATCAACTCCCGGGGGACCCAAACAAGATGTTATCAGGCAATAGACACAAGAAAGAAGTCAAGCGACGCACAAAAACCGGTTGTTTAACTTGTCGCAAACGAAGAATCAAGGTGAGCGCAAATGTGTAGATTCGCGGGGCGGAGTCTCTCTCGCTTGTGCCCGTCAGACCCCGCCATTTATTTTGTCCGCTTAAACCCACCTCACTCTCAACCCTCAACTTTTTTTCCTTCAGTTTTCACTGGTTTTGGAGATCTTTTTGTTCTAACTTTCCTTTTAGTGTGACGAAGCACATCCGGTCTGCAGAAACTGTGTGAAAAGCAAACGTGAATGCTTGGGCTACGATCCTGTGTTTCGGACTCAAGCTTCTACACCATCAGCTATCCAACCAGCTCCTAACCCTCCTCCTTCGTTGATTGTCAATCCACAAGGCCCTTCTACCTCATCGGCCCCTTCTTATCCTTCTTATCCTTCTGCGCCCCCCGGGTACATGCCCGCGTCGTCTCAACCATTCGCACCTTCTCTCCACTCCGAATCGCCCACTGCCTCTGTTGAACAACACGAGCACAGAGCTTCCATTGATTCTTCTCTGGCAACGAACAATCAATCCAGTCATACCGAAATGCAGAACACGGGGTTACCACGTCAACAGGGCTCGGAGCCTGCATACAAAGGTGAGTTTATATGTTTTTCGCGGCGCATTACAACATTACGAACAGGTATCTGACAATCCATATAGCCAAAAATCTCTATGTCAACGACCTCTTCTCTTTGAGGGGAATTGCTCCTCCTCCTCCCAACCCCGTCGCGACTCTTCCACCCGGCCGCCTTGAAGAGATCCAGGCAGTCTTCCTGGCCACGTATGCGCCTGCGATCGATAAGCTGCTCGAGGTTCGCTGGTATTCGGAGAGTGCTCTCTCACTACTCATGGCCGATGCCCAGCTTATGGCAGATTATTCAGCTTTGATCATTGCTTTCAATGAATGGGACCTCCAAGACGGCGAGACTCTTGCTCGTCTAGAGAGTTTCGAGGCCTCGATCATCTGGAAAAGCATGTCATTATGTCGCCAGGTGCCAGATGGAGAAACTGGACAACAGGGGCGAGACTGGAATCTCTGTGTGTCTTGCGCACGGTTAAACGTGATCGAGGCATTGCTTACTTGGAACCATCTGGACTCAAACCCCTTGTCACGAGAGCTAGTCATGGATGCCGCCAATCCCCCGAACACTCCAGATCAGTTCCAGAGCCGTCAATTAGATTTCTGGGACCAGGTCGGAGAATTCCTCACACTTTATGACAACGAAGCAAGCTCCGCCAAGCAGATCGATGATACCCTCAGCCGGTGTCGACAATTGCTGGATACATACGAGAACCGTGACATCATATACTCCATCTCTGTTGCACGCCATCTAGGGCAGCGCTGGGCTGACTTCCCCAACAGCCTGCCCAAGGTGGGCTACACCACTGAGAAAGAAGCTGGAACCAGGCTCTTTGTCGCACAGAAGTTCCTCGAAGAAGAAGCTGAGGGCAAGGGCACAACGCAAGTCTACAAGCGGGTTTGCTGCATGGCAGTACGCTCTTGGTGGGTTGCTCGCGGGTAATCAACTCTTGTGATATCAAGATCGCTTCCGAGCGTCTGCATTGCCCCTCAAACTCTTTCATTACTCCTTGCATAATGAGTTCCTAAACAAGGGCCATTACACCCTCTTCTCGATCCTGCGTCCTCCCGGGGTTTTTATCTTGTTCTTTTGCGGTCGACAAAACAAAAGCATCATGGTCAGGCGTTATGTTTCTTTTGCTCTGAATGATATGATTTCAATTCTCTGCCTGTTTACAATTCTATCTTATTGTTTCTATTGGGGTTTTAGGGGACTGGGCAGTGAGCGAGCAAAGCACTACGGCGTTTTGGCCTTTTCTTCCCCCCGAACATGTGGAGTTATAACGGCTCCACCTGTCTTTTGTGTACATATAGATCGGCTAATGTCTGTCACTCGAAATCGTGTCTCTTTTTGTAGTGCTTTTACCTCTGGTTATCGATTGAGTAAAACTAAGGCAATACAAAGTTGCATCTTCAATTTTGAGCACTTTCCTAGCGAGAAATTGGATTCTGTCAACATCTACCAGAAATGGGAATAATATCGTGGAGTAGACATGTTGGGCGTATCACTTTACGATGTATGTAATGTCGTATGAAGCCTCAACTGTATAAACGACTTTCGTACGTGTAGCTAGGGAGGTACTGCAAAATCGGATCAAATGGTCCGAGAAGTAGAATGAGCGTCACCTCGAAGGCCTACCTCGTAGACGCGCAATCAGGTATCTCAACCCGAATCCTAACCTCACCCACTTCATTCTGGAACAGGAACCCGACATCCCGCGTCGAATCAACTAGCTCCACCTCCCTACGCACAAACCGACTCTTGTCGGGACCATCGCCCGTGTTCTCAAGCCCAGAGCCAACGACAGGTCGATCCTCATCCTCACTATCCTCATCCGATTCAATACCGGCTGCAACGCCAACTTCCCTCTCCACAGGATCCCACTCATCCGTCTCCCAAACCAGCCGGAACCCAAACGCCGGGAGGCCGAAAAGCCGCGACACAAGTGCCTTAACCTGGTATGTATCAAACGAGCCAGGGACTTCTTTGACCTGGCTCTTGGATTCGTCGTTTTCAAGTGGCAGACGGAACGCCATTTTCACCAGTCGCGCTGCTACAGACCGCGGATGGATGACTCTCGCGCCTGAGGAATCTGAGACAACTGTCCTTGTGATAGTCGGCTCGACGTATAGCTCGCACAGCTCGCCGTAGCGCGGGTGTGTGGCGAGGATGGCGGGTTCTTCTTCCTCGGTTGTGGCGGAGAGTTCTTTGCCGATGAGGGATAGGTAGTACATCTCTCCGTTGGAGCGGTCTTGTGGTGAGATGGTGCTGTAGTTTAAGGTGGCGAGGGAGGATGGGAATCGAGATAGGGTTAGCATAAAGGCCTCATCGATGGTCATTGGTTTGGAGGCTTCTGTGACAGATGGTGGGAGAGGTGGTTGGTCGAAAAGAGGGTTGGCAGTGATTCGGAGAGTAGTTAGGCCTGGGAAGACAGTGGGGAGTTTGTTGAGGATGGCCCAGGAGGTGATTTTGTTGCGGGATATATCGAGAGATTGGAGGGTTGGCGGGAACTGGAAGTCTAGGGTTGTATCTGTAGTGCTTTGGTTCACGGTGCTGATGCTGTTCCCACGAACGGAGAGGTGCTCCAATTTCGGAAGTGCGGCGAGATGCCGAAGGGCTGATATTGAGGTGATCTCGTTATGATCGAGGGTTAGCTTTGTGATGGTGCTAGGGAGTGGACACGTTATCTCAGAGAGCTGGTTCGCAGATGCCGTGAGAGATGTCAAGCCAGGGAATCGATATGCAATGGCGGCAATCTGTATTCGAGGTTAGTTTTGCTTATGATTTATAGTGATGAATATGCTACATACCTCATCCCAGCTCAGCAGGGTTTCTTCCAAGTGTAGCTCAGTGATTCCCGTGAAGGTCAGGTCATCCTCCAAAGATTGAAATCGGTTTCCACTATCCTCGAGTCAGCTCTACAATTGAAGAGCTGGACAAGTTTGAAACTCACTTCAACTTCAGCCGTTTCAGATGTTTAAGCTGGTTGCAAATATCCCAAACATCGCACCATCGACTTAACAAGCTTCGACTGAGATCAAGTTCCGTGATCTTGGGACAGGTCTCTCCAATCTTTTGTGCTGTCTCAGTATGCGAGACTTGAGCCTGGTCGTAGGATGCAAGAACTCCGGTAATCCGTAAACCATCGAGCAAGACAATGCGTAACTCTTGGAGCTCAGCGAGCTGTTTGCGAATTTTGTCGAAGCCAACTTCTTCAACCACTTTGCCGCTAATTTCAATTGCCTTGCCTCGAACCGTTGCTCCACTGGCCAAGACATTTTGAGAAAGGCCATCGGACTCAGAAGCATACTTCTCCCGCAGGGCTTCTAGAAAGCTCAGAGGCTGGTCTGAAGGCCTGGAGGGGCGAACAAAAGACCCCGCCGTGGGATGCTTGCTTTTGCCTAAAGCCAAGTCAGCTACAATTCAGGTTTGAAGGTGGGTTATTCATACATGAGAAGTATCTGACGCCTTTGTGTTCTCCTGAGTGCTTGCCTCGACTCGCATCGTCCCATTCAACACCAAGCCAGTCGCCGGTGGTCCCTTGAACGGTGCCCACATAGCGAATCGTACTTAAATGACCATCGAACGACCGACGTTGGCCTACAACTGGGACACTCATAGCTCAAGCCAGACCTAACAAGTTGTTTATTCAAGTTTTTTGATGGGCGCTACTTCGTACTGTTGATCCATCGCGCAAATAGCCAGCTTATCTAATCAAAAACGGTTCGGACCTAGGCTTCACTTGGATCAATAGCTGAAGACAAGACACACCCCTTGAGGGCTATACAAGAAACTATGTATATACCGATCCAATGCCTCAATGCAGCTAGCTATCTCTTTTCCAAGACCTTTTTTTTTACATAAATTAGCCGATGAAGGAACATAGGTATTTTGGCATGTAAAAAACAATGTTTTTATTAGGAAGGCGGTCTATGCGGATACTATGGCCTAGTACTTTGGAGGTCCAGCATGTTTCCCTCACATGTGGAAGTTTCAAACGCTTGTAAGATCTTGGAATGACTGATGAAAGAGATTACAGCTAGAAGATACCGCCATAACGTGTGAATAGCTAAAAATGGAACTTGTACTAAGCCCACCCTTGGAAGGTACACTTGTGGTAGTAACTGCCGTAAGTGTACACTGTATATGCTACGATAGGAAGGCGGTCGCCGCGGATACCGCTCTCGAAAACACCTGGAAGCTACAACCCGTCAACTTCATTACAGCTACAACACCGACAGCATGGATTACCAGGTACGTACGACCTAAATTGGGATATTACCATGCGTGCTGTTTTGAAGTATCACATGCTAATGCATCCCCCAGAATCGTGCAGGCTCCAAATTCGGCGGCGGCGGCGTCGCCTCCAAGTCCGCCACCAACGCTGATCGACGTGAGCGACTGCGCAAGCTCGCTATGGAAACCATGGACGTCGAAAAGGACCCCTACATTTTCAGAAATCATTTGGGCACATTCGAGTGCCGCCTCTGCCTGACGGTGCACCAGAATGACGGCTCCTACCTCGCCCACACGCAGGGCCGCAAGCACCAAACGAACCTCGCACGACGAGCGGCCCGCGAGGCCCGTGAAGGAAAGAATCAGGATCCGTCTTCTATTCCCGGCGCCGCGGGAGTGCAGGTCAAGAAGCAACTGATCAAGATTGGCCGTCCAGGATACAAAATCACCAAGATCCGGGACCCTTTGACGCGCCAGCAAGGCTTGCTATTCCAGCTGCAGTTCCAAGAGATTACCCCCGGTGTTACACCCCGTGTGCGCTTTATGTCGGCTTTTGAACAGCAGGTTGAGACTCCCGATAATAGGTACCAGTACCTGGTTGTTGCTGCGGAGCCTTACCAGACCTGTGCCTTCAAGCTGCAGGCTAGGGAAATTGATCGTCGGGATGAACGCTACTGGACTTGGTTCGATGAGGACAGCAAGGAGTTCTGGATTCAGATCATGTTCAAGACCGAGCGAGAGGAGATGTTCAGTGGTGTGCCTGGTCTGGCACCCGTGCAGACTTAAAGCTCTTTTTTTCAATTTTCTTTCTATGCGTCTCTTTTGCTCTGCTTTGTTTCTAAACATGCATCAAAAGTTGATGGTTGTCTCATGGCGGAAATCAGGATAGGCGTTTCGGGGTGATTCCATGTTGATACTTCGTTTTTTTATCTGATTCTCCAGCGATTCGCTTTTCATGACAATTGAAATTCAGTTTTAATGGCTAACATGCCATCAACAATACCAGATTTGAGGCCGCGCGGCATGGCTTTCCCTTTCCACTTCAGTGCTCCCCCTAGCCGCTTTTTGCTTACTGAGGAGCCTGATTATCCTTTCTGGGCATGACCTGTGTATTCCATAATCCTTAAACTTGCTCACTGAGCGTCACCTGAGCAGACTTGGAGAGCAGCCAAGTCAGCAGCTCACTGTAATCCCCCCCTATCTAGCAATATCATCGCACAAGAATGATAATCCTAAGAGACTGCCAATATCCGTCTTCCCGTCCTCGCGGAGACTATGGACTGATTCCTTTACGGCCTCCCATCTATCAAAATCATGATCGAATGCCTCGGCCATACCTGAAGCATTAAGGATTTTTGCTAAAATGTAATGGCACTCCAGTATGATTGGACTGGGAAGCTTATGGTCCTTTGCTGGGTCGTGGTTTGTGAAAGTGATCCGATCGTGAATCATATTGCGATACGCATTGCCGATCGGTCCAAATATCTCAACATCATATTGATCGGGGACTTCCTGTATCCTCTTAATCAGTACCTAGCCACTTGTTTTGAAAGGTATAAATAGCCAACCGTTGCTTTAAAAGCAAGGCGAAACTGTCCAAACCTTGAATGGATCCACTCAGCCATAGTGATTCCATTCTCAAGGTTGTCGATATCTTCCCAGTTGAATCTTAGACGTCGGAGTGCTGGAAAGCACCGGTACAAAACTTGCCAAGCAGTAGCTATATCGGGAGGTGGGCTCTATTTAAAGCTTAGTATTCATATCAACTACCTTGGAGAGAAACTTATCTTACCTGGCTTGAACTCCAAAATCCATATGAAAAGGGAATTATATGAGCCCCTTGTGTATCTGTAGGATTAAGATCGGGCGAATCTAAACCAAGTTCTTCATATCGGCCTTGGTCAAAATGACCAGTCACGGCACACTTGTATCCATCTCTCGCCAGCAAGGCTGTTTTGAACTTTTGGTCGCGGCTGATTGGCTTCGCGCTAAGTGCTTCGGCATTATCGCCCCGCTTTGGCTTCGGAGATGGGGTAATCGAGGGAGGCTTCGAGCGCGACATCACTAAGTAGTCCGATTCATAAGTTCATCTTTTTTTTTTTTTTTTTTTACATAGGGATCATCACTTACTCCGGGATCTCAGGCCAGTGTAGAGGTTACTAAAAGCCTCATATAGGCCTTCGTCTCCCGGCTTACTATCGATGTCCTTCAAGAGCTCGGCGCATCCATCTGGTGGTAACAGCTCGAGGAAATTTCTAAGGGACACTTGGAGGATTTCATCATGGGGTCTTTCCGCACTTGTGGTGTACCGATCAATACGATCAAGCATTGCGGCTAGATTTGCTGTACGCGTGGATTCCGACACATCTGTCTGGACCGAGAAGATTGAATCCTCATACGGGACTGGGGGAGGCGGGTCTGGCTCCGTAAGCTTACAGCGGGGGCGAGAGGAGGATGCCTCTGGAGAATCCGAGCGAGGGCGTTTACTCGCCATAGAAGGTAGTAGGCTGCGATATACTCGTAGATCTATAGGCAGTGAATGCTTGTCGATCAGACTATCGGCCCCAGGGCCCCGACCAGCGCCACATCCGTAGGACATTATAACGGCACCAGATTTACCCATATCAGGAAAATTGATGCTTGCCGCTTTGGTTGGCCTGAACCGAAAGCATAATTTGCTATTTTTCGAGACGATTTCGTTTTCATTTACCATCATTGTAATAACCTGGGACTTTCCCGTTTTCTTATGGTCTTGTGTAGTATTGAGCTGGCCCAAAGAGTCTACAGAACGGCAGTCATAGCATTGGACATCCAGCCAAGACATTGCTTGTGGTTCATGTATGGACATACAATGCAGTCTTCTCTGCAAACAAGATTAAAGCGTACTCAATTTATGATTCACCGGAATTAAGAAAATTACGTATAAGAAGGGCGGATATAGTCAGAAAAGACACATGCATTTTGTTCTTTAGGGTAATATCCTGACTATCCTAAATCAGCTGTGTCTTTCCGTGACAAGTAGCGTATCGTCTTGAGAAAGATGCAAGGCGGTAGATACATATGTATCAACAGATGGAACCGGGGGTGGATCATGATTTGGGAAAACAACATCACGCTGATATGCTCAATGATAATGTGTAACGAGGGGAAGAACAAAACCGAGTTTTTTTTGGTTTTTTTTTCTGGCCGACAAAAAGGTACCGTTGAGAAACAAAGGATGCAAGCCCTGCTTGCTTCCATTGTCTCGCAGAATCGGCCAGTCTCGGAATACAGCAAACCTAAGTGGTTTGGAAGGCATTGAAAGCCTTATAGGTATAGCCGATGAATGGCAAACTCATCTCGGCTTCCTGTGAGTCCGGCATGGCACGGGCCTGAGCGCGGTGAATCGCGCTGGTATCCTCCTGAGGAATTTCATCAATTGGGAAGTATGACACATCAATGTTCGAGCTGAGGCGTGGCTCGAAGGGAGCACGGATGCCGCGCAGTTGGTCCCAAACGACACCCCTGAAGAATGGATGGTTTTTGATCTGTGTCGCGCCCCCATGCTGACCACCTTCGCTGCCAATACGGTGATCCGGGTCACACAAGAAACTAGAAAATTCAGTTAACGGGTGGCCGTTTCAGATTTTGGATAGCCACATCAGAACTTACCTTCGGATCAGCGCCTCAGAATCACGTCCAAGAACCAGTTCATCAGGGAAGTACAAGCATTCTCTCCAGTTGACGATTTTTCGGTAGGTGTCATTCGTGTCTTCAGCACAGAACGGAGGCCAGCCCACGAGACATTCGAACATGATAGCACCAACAGACCACCAATCGCAGAGATAAGTGTAACCTTGACCGTTGAAAATCTCAGGAGCAATGTAATCCGGAGTTCCAACAGTGGAATACGCCATGGCGCGACGAGACTTTCGCCAGGTATTGATCTGACCACGATTGGACACTGTCAGATTGATGGCATCATTGAAGTATCCAGAATTGCGGTTCCGATCCTTGGAAGTAGAGTTCTTGAGGAGGTTTTGGTAATAAGCGTTGTCGTGAGTCTTCTTGCCACCTGTCGACAGACCGAAGTCAGTAAGCTTGACGTGACCACCCCGGTCAAGCAAGATGTTGTCTGGTTTGATATCACTGCGCAAGAAGGATGAGTTAGTATGGATTGTCTTGTATATTGACATGTGCACCTTGATCTTCATCAGAGAGCCAAAGAAAGCACATGCCAATGTCTCAACTCGTAATCAATAGCCAAGCATCACTTACCGATGGAGGAAACCAAGCTTGTGGACAGCTTCAATTGCCATCACGACCTCGGCCATATAGAACCGTGTAATGTCCTCAGAGAAAATTTCATACTTGATCAACATGGTCATCAAATCACCACCGGGCAAAAACTCCATCAGCAGGTAAAGGTACGCGGCATCCTGGAACGATGCATGAAGCTTCACAAGCCAAGGATTGTCCTTCGAATCCGCCAGGATATCACGTTCGGCACGCACGTGGGCTAACTGATCCTTCTTGAACATTTCCGTCTTGATCAACGACTTGAGGGCATAAATCTTGCCATCAGTCTTGCGCTGCACGAGCTTGACCTCACCGAAAGCACCCTTTCCGATAATCTTAATGGTCTGGAAGTTCGCTGGTGTCTCCTTTGTACGCAGGAATCGAAGGAAATCGGATTCTCTCTTGGAAATCACGTCGGCATCTTGGCGCTTCTTTTCGATGGGGACAGTGGGTTCACGGATTGTTTTGTCAAGTTCAGCCGATCTGTAGAGGCGAACATCATTGGTATAAGTCCCAAGTCCGGGAGAAAACTTCATAATTTCCATTTAGGGAATGGATACTTACCGCATGTTACGGTCACGGGCCCGTTCAATATTCTCGTGGAAGAACACAGTCACCAGCTCCTTCGCCGCCTTACCTCGCTTGTGTACATTCTCGGAGTAGCGATCGGGGAAGCGTTGCAACTCTTCATTCTCGGAGGGTGGGCGAGGGCTCCGGGGCACAGGCGGGATCAGGTGTGATGCTTGGGCCTGTGTTTGAGCGGGGGAGCCACCAGCGGTGCGAGGCCGCTGGGCTGGGGAGCCAGCCCGATTGTTGAAAAATCCTGCGCGGTTTGCGTTCAGGTCTTGGTTGGAGAATTGTTGGATCAGACCATTGGTACCGTCGGGGTAGCCCGGGCGTGCTTGGTACGCGGGTTGCGGCGATTGCAACGCTTGCTGTTGCGCGTACTGCTGTTGTTGCTGATGTTGCTGCTGCTGGGCATACTGCGACTGTACCTGTTGGGGTTGGTAATTGTTGGGCATAAAATAGCCCGGAGCGTAAGCAGGATTGGAGGGGTCGACGTATTCCTGGGCCCCCTGAGTCTGATAGATGGGCTGGGGGAAGGCGGAGGGGGTAGTGGGATAGGCGCGGTTGTTGGCATTGTAGTTACGGTCATAGCCGTAATTCATATTGTTGCGATTGTTGTTGTTGGGATCCATCTTGACTCGAACTCCCAAGGGACTTTTCAAGGTAGATGGGGGAGAAGAAAGATGGGAGGGAGGGAGTTGAGGGCCAGGGCGGGGAGTTAAAAGAAGCGGTGGCTCAGGAGACAGTCTAGCCCCAGCGTGACTGGTTGATTCAATTGTTTACATGTTACATGTTTACATCACTCGATTGGATTCGAAACAAGTGTTGTATATATTCCCAACATCTGTGATACTTTTCTGTTCATCCAATGATTTTCTAGAATCAGGCGGCTCAGTAGTTCAAGAGGGGAAATTGCCAAATATGCTAGTGTGCTAGTGGACTAATATTGATTTTTTTAGAAAAGGGGGACTTACGATCCTGCTCGTGGTATCCAGCAGATCACACCCATCAAGGTGCAGCTCTTAGAATCACCAGAATCCAAGCGTTGTGTACTCGTACAGCCCTGGCAGTTTTCTGCAACTTTTTGACTTTCTTCTGATTTGGTATCCAGCTCTTGCTGCTTTTAGGGAGCCCCTGGACGTATTATGTAATCCCGACACGTGCCCAGGTGAGTCTAGAAAATCCCCCACATGCTAGCCCTATCTCTATCATCGTCTACTCCGTATGTTCATAGAAGATCTCTGTCTTGATCTGTACGTCTGAAAAGTAGTCACTTTGTCCTATACCACTTTAAACATCTCTAGATTTTCGACCTTGGAAACTCACAAAATAACTTTGTTCTTGGTCTCGTCTTCCTGAGTCAGGTTGAAACCTCACCACGTGCAGTCACCACCATACTGTGTACACCACGCCATCTGGACCGGTGCAAGTGTGATTCCCCGTAACACCATTCTCTCTCTCATATCAGATAATCTTACAGCTGCATCGATCTGGCTCCTATTTTGCCCGCCTTGAGTCTTCCGCCCAGACCACATGTTTTCTCCCGCGGCACACGACCGTGGCCAGACCATCGGATCCAGGTTGGATGGGTCGCTCTGCTCGCTGAAGAGGTGGATCTCACCTCCGATGACCAACTTAGCCTGCTCAGCAGACAGCGAAGCGGTTGGGTCATACTCCCACACCACACGCCAGTTGTTAATGGGCGAACAAAAGTCAGCGTACGGGTAATTTTTTGGGACATCGGCGTTCTTGAAATTGAACCACTTTCCGTGGCCGCAAGCGAGGTACTAAATACTGTTAGCAATTAACATAAGTTTGGCCTGGAAGATTCACGAACCCAGCTGTCGGTATCTCCGAAGAGAGCCTTGTGTCCTCGGGAAGTTACCGCGCCAAGGGCTTTAGCACCATCCCATGTCTGAACTATGACGTCTTTTCCAATGGTAAGATTCCATGTGAGAAGTAACTCCTGCCAGATAATTGGCACAAGGCCTGCTTTCCTGACCAAGTCGTGACTGTGGTCGACAAACTTTTGTAGTAAGGGGGTGATGACCGCGACGTCCTTGGAGTTGACAGTGTCATCCAGAAGGTAGTCGCTGCTTTCAATCTCGTCTCCGCCAGTGTGGAAATATGCCGAATACGGAGAGACTCTGGGTAGCACGTCGTCGAACAGCTTTGTGACAAAATCGTAGACCGGCGTGGAATTAAGCTTTAGTTGCCCGCAAGGAGGCTCAGAGCAATAGTCATGCCATGACTGCTGACGGAATGCGGTGACGAGCTCTGGGTATGCGAATCCAACGGCTGTGGTGTGGCCAGGCATATCTATCTCGATTATCACTTCGACCCCACGATAGATACCGTAGATCTGGATATCCTCGACATCTTGAGGGGTATAGGATAGTCCAGCATGATACGCGCCCTTCTTAGATAGCTCTGGTAGCGCGGGAACATCTAGAGGCCAGGCTTGTGCATCGGTCATGTGGATGTGGAAACGATTGAATTTGTTCCAAGAAAGGGCATCAATGGTCCGGAGGATGTGCTCTTTGGGGTACCAGTTTCTGGAAACATCCAAGTTCAAGCCTCGATGGTTGAACTTTGGCCAATCACTAATACCCACGGGGGCAAAGTTGGAATACACACCAGTGCCATTGACCGAGTGCGAATAGAACAATTGTGTGAAAGTCTCCAGAGCACGGAGAACACCAGTAGATGATACTGCCGAGATGGTTGCTTCGCCACTGGTTGCAATTGTTAGGTTATAAGTCTCGTCAACTGTGCCTGCGAGGGGCTTGAATGTTGAATTGTCATCTTTTGTTGTCTGGGTGATCTGGAGTGTTCGTATATACGTCTTTGAATGGCCAGTCGCGGGGGGTTCAAATTTATCCAGCTCATTGCGTGGATGGAACTTCCAAGGAACAATGCTAGTTTTGAAAATAGATCCACGGGCCCTCTCTACAGCGGCCGCCACAATCTCCAAGCTTGCTATTGTTTTGGTTCCAGCTTTGGGCTGCGGTAACTGTGGTTTAAGCCCATTGTCAGCTGCTTCACAGAAAAAGAATACTGTTGTGTAAATTTACATCCTGGTCGTTATACGAGACCTTAAAGTCCTCCGCGATCCAAACAGTAGAAGTTCCATTGGTGAAAGACTGCGGAACAGGCCATAATGCCGCCACATGGCCGACGAAGGAGAGGAAGGCAAGGAACCTCATGATGTTTTGAGTAGATAGAAAACCCCAGCTCTTTTGCAGACTGCAGATGCACACTTTATATATCAACCCACACACTAGTTAGGATCATCAGGGGTCATTTCATAAATGTCTTCGCACAAAGCGATGTCGTGATGCTGTAGGAACGCTACAGGATTGCAGGGTTGTATGCTCAAGGTTACACTATTTAGAACTAGAAGCTATCAATTTCGTACTAATCTCCTACAAATCATGTCGTGCTTTTAGTATGTATGTCGTTCTCTTACTGAATATGGTAATATAGACAATATAGACTGATGAACACTGTATATTGGGCTAACCCTTTTAGTTATGGACCACCGAGAGCCGGAGCTAGTGACTAGCTCAAAGTTAGACGTGCATAAGGTTTAATATAGTTCATCCATTTCGGCATCTCTCACCCCAGTCTATGATGACGCATGTCGCTAAAACAATCGGAGTAGATTTGTTGATAGAAAATACCCTTTACTGGACTGCAATGTAACACTGCTTTGAGTATCCACGTAGACACGGGGATTTAATCTATCGTCTCCTTGTCATATACCCCGCTCCTAATATATCCCCAACTATAGGAGGACTCGACCGGAAGAATCAACCTCTTTACGAAGCACGTAATGATAGCGGCATATGGCAACCAAGTACACCAATTGCATAAGCAGAGAGAGTACGATCTCATCTTTCTTACTATGTAGGTGGTCAAGACCGTACTGGGCCCTGGCTTCTTAAAGGTATATAAAGAGGGATCTTGCAATGGTGGTTGAGAAGGTATACTTACTTTCCTATAACTCTTGTATCCTCCGATCTTGCTACCTAATCAAAAGGTCTTAAGGATGGTGCGACTTTCTACCCTCGTTGGCGCCACGACGCTTGCGTTGTCAAAGATGGCCACAGCAAATTACGTCTTGTTGAAGTCGTACGACACAACGAACTTTTTTGACGGATTTGAATTTCGGAATGGCACTGGATCTGGCGGGTTTGCTCAATACGTGGATGCTACTACCGCAAAGGCAAAATCCTTAGCAGGTATCCGGAACGGCAAGGTGTACCTAGGCGTCGATAATACGACTGAAAACACGACTGGTGGTCGACAATCCGTCAGAGTCATCACGAAGGATGTTTATACCAATGGGCTTTATATTGCTGATATCGCTCACATGCCAGGCAATGCCTGTGGTATCTGGCCGGCCTACTGGACCAGTGGTCCAGACTGGCCTAACAGCGGCGAGATCGATATCATCGAAGGCATCAATATGCAGAAAACCCCTATCATCACCCTACATTCCGGAAAGAACTGCACCGTCACGAATACTGGCTCGGCAGCTGGCTCAGTTCTTGTCGATCCGGATTGTGACAGCAGTACCTCGTCTGGCGGCTGCTCTCAGACCTCGACAAATACCCAGGCCTATGGAGACGGCTTCAACGCGATTAACGGCGGCGTTTACGTCACACAATGGAGAACGAGCGATATCTCGGTCTGGTTCTTCCCCCGTAGCAGCATCCCGGCGGACATCACAAACGGGGCTCCAACACCACCCACTTGGGGCAAGCCATTGACCCGGTTTGTGGCCTCGGGCTGCGACTTTGCGACTCACTTCAAGAGCAATGACATAATATTCAACACGAACCTGTGTGGCTGGGCGTAAGATACAATATCCACTGATGCATTAAGAGCTGCGCTAACAAATACCAGTGGAAATGAGTGGCCATCCGAGTGTAAGGCGAAGGCTGCTACCTGCAAGGAGTATGTAGCGCAAAATCCGTCGACGTTCTCGGATGCATATTGGTTGATCAACTCTGTCAAGGTATATCAATGGAGCAATGCTGCCAAATAGGGCTTCGATGCCGGGAGACTCCCAGGCAAAAATTAGATTAGTCCACAGCTAGATATATAAGCCTGAGGCACTATATATGCAATATGAGGTCCAACTTGGTGCTTTGTGTGGATTGTGCAGGGGAATCTTAGGGCATCGGGAAATAGTATACTAATACTAACGTATGCATTTATTAGGTGACGCACTCATTTTGGTCCGGTAGCAGATCTATATGTTTCTAATGTAATCTGGGAGAGAGGCAACATCTTACAGGTATCTCGCATACCAACCAAGACCAAGTCAGAGCTAAGCTATCTATCGTCACGGTAATGCCGCGAGAAAAGTATGTATGTCTTGCTAACCATCACTAAATTGTCAAGCCATCTTGTAATGTCACTGGGCGAAATGTATGTGTGCACCTATTGACAGTTCCCCATAATGTGTCATTGCTAGATCATGCCAGGAAAGACCATATAGACTGACAACCCCACGGAATCAGGAGCAAAATCGGTAACCATGCTTCAGACAAGGAAACATTGTAATACTAAACTCTCTGTACATGAACCCGGGGTGGGGGGTACTGAAATGGAGGAGGCGTTGACGATTACAAGCGCCTCATGGTGAGATGGCTTGGTAGTTTCCTGTCATCGACGGCTCATGCAGACGAGCATTTAGGCATACAGACTTATGGTGTTATTCCCGGTAGACTCACACCCCAGCAAGCAAGGGATGGTGGGATTACCTATTTATATCACAAACGCTGTTTGAAATGGATTTTTGAATGCGGCCCAGCGAAACAATTTTGCTTCAAGCCCCGCTGCTGATCTTGAGCCTCATCATCGAAAGGAGCAAATTCCATAAAGTTGATGTATCCAAATACATCGCTACGCTTGGGAAATCTCGACATACTCACCAACACGATAAACCGGGTTTTCCGACGGTCCATGATCCAGATTTTGCTAAGCAAAAAGTCCAGCCAGATAGACAAGCAGATGAAATCAAGCCGACAAAGAATCAGACCAGTACTGGGCTCCTGACATACTGTACTTACTACTGACTGCTGATAGTTGCTATGAGGTCGAGACTGAAAGACAGCTCTCTCGTCTTGCTCTGTTAGATTATACTCCATATAATCACTCATTATTACAAGCCTGTTGCCAAGTCACCATAATTTTCTGTGGCAAGAATAAAGCTCTGTAACGGCCTTCAAGTCGCGTCATGTTACAAGGCAGTTTCTTCTTGCATGATTCGGCTAAAGAATGGATGATATATCCCTAGGGAGGGAGAGCCAAGGCACACAGATGGCCGTAAATAAATTATCAAGACGAGGAATCCAAAGTGATACTCACATCTCGCAGAAGTCGACCTCGGCGATCTGACATGGATGAGGTTTATATCAAGTCACGTGGAGTCGGGATAAGGTAATCCCGCGGCAACAATTTTCCCCGAACGAGCATGCCCCGGGTGTACGCTATCTATACATAGACCGATTTCTTCATTATACAACCCAATGGCAGAGTCAACAAATTCTGCTGCGCCCACGGGCGCTGGCAAGGCTCAGGCCGCCCCGAAGCCGCCCAACCCAGCGTTCAAAATGATGGGTATGTCTTCGTTCCCCAGATTCTAATGGTCCAAAAAAATGCTAATTCCGCTGCGATCAACAGGACTTCCTAATATGCGCTTCAAATTGCCCTCTCGCAACTGGATGATCTTCCTTACCATCACTGGATCATTCACCGGTGCTCTCATATACGATCGTCGGGAAAAGCGTCGCGTACAACAGAAGTGGTCGGAGCTCGTGGCTCACATTTCTAAAGAAACTCTACCAGTCGACCAGATGCGCCGGAAAATGACAGTATACCTGGCTGCGCCGCCAGGAGATGGCTTGCGTGTGGCTCGGGATCATTTTAAGGAATATGTCAAGCCCATCCTGGTGGCCGCGGCGTTGGACTATACGGTGATCGAAGGGCGACGTGAGGGCGATGTGAGAGCCGGCACGGCGGAAAATATTCGCAAGCAGCGCCGAAAGGCCGGAGAGCCCAGTTCAGTTGTTGAGGAGGTCGGCGTGGAAGCAGTCGTTGCTGCCACCCGGGAACACATTGGGGTCACCGACGAACCCGGTCCCAAGGGCGATTTGGTCATCGGCCGGCACACCTGGAAGGAGTATATCCGGGGTTTGCATGAGGGCTGGCTTGGTCCCTTGGACCCGCCACCTCCGCCTCCGGAGGAGTCGAAGGAGTTGACCCCGGACACAGCGGAGGACAGCAGTGCGGCCAAACCCCCTGGTCTCGCGAACCCCGAGATTGCGAGCATCGATTCCCCCGAGTTCTCTGAAGAGAAGAAAGACGAGATTCCTGAGCCTAAGATCGAGGAACCCGAGAAAGAAGAAGAGAAGAAAGAAGAGAAGCCTTCCAAGCCAGCAGGTCCTACTCCTGCATACATCTACCCCAGCGAATACTCATCCGCCATCCTTCCCCCCACCATCCCTCAATCCTTCGAGAGCTCCACCCCAGTCGAGTTCCCCCATATTCTCGGATTCCTGAACACCCCGATTCGAGTCTACCGCTTCCTCACACAACGTTACCTTGCCGAGGACGTCGGGCGCGAAGTTGCCGCAATTGTCCTCGCGAATAGCGCACGGCCGTACCGCGAAGACACCTTCAGCGCAGAAAACGACCCCACCCCTTCTCTTGATAGCTCGTTCACCGACCTCCCCCTCGCAACTATGAACAGCAGACCGTAATGGAGACCGCTGAAAAAGAGTGGCACAAGTCCGCGCACAAGCGCGAAGAAGATGAGAAGGTGAAGGAGCGCGAGTGGATTGATGACATGGTGCTTGACCAGCGTATTGCCTCGCGCATGCAGCGCGCCACCCTTTCCCCGGAAGATGAGGCGCGCGCTCAACGCATCGCCGAGAAACAGGAATACATTCTTGGCGAGGAGCGGCCGACTCCCGTGCCTTTCTGGAAGCGCATGTGGATTAATTACGGCTATGGTGAGAGTGACGAGGCCCTGAGACGTAAGCCCATTTTGGGTAACATCGACGGAGAAGACATACAGTGAAGAGATCTTCAGACGTTTACTGCCTGATCTTCACAACTTGAAATTTGGTTATTTAGTATAACGGTTACGGGATGGATTTTCCCCTGGCATTCAGCACGACATGTGTTGGTCTTTTTTAGCATATTGCGACTCCCTCCTCGGCTTGTATATTAAAGGCGTTTGATGTCCCATTTTAGAAATGTACATTGATGGAAACGGTGTTCTTCAAATTTGGAGTAGATTGTTCTACGTTTAGCACTTGCTTGGTTGGCAATAGATACTGGTACATTGGTTCTCCCAGCACCTGTATACTCACTCCACTTGGCATCGGCCAATACCAGAGTATATTCGCTCTCTCCATGTCTTTCTCTATGTTTTTAAACCTCTTTTCGTTGTCCCAACCCCTGCAACTCTGTTATATTGCTAGGCGGCTAGGCAACTCATGATCGAAGCGGGGATGGAGCTGGGAGTTCACACGGTCCTCGATTCAGATCATTTCAATTCAACACAAAGACCGAAGACTTGGGCCACTTCGTGTTCGCCTTCTCAGCGTAAGCAGTCTTATCACTGCCCCACTTGTTCAGAATGTCGAAGCCAATGACAGCCTCATCAATAGTGATATTGGGGGAATCGAGGGTAGCAAGCAGGTCTTGCTCGCACTGCGACTTAGATTCAGGGTTCAGGAGTTGACGACCAGACAGACCGGCCTGCACGTGTGCAACGCTGCCCTTGTTGGCCGAGAGGTAAGCCTCGTTCCACTCTTCGAGCTTCTGGGTCTTTGGGAGCAGCTTGTCAAACTCGGCATTGACAACCTCGGCAACCTGCTCTGGGAGAGGCTCGGCAAGGCTCTCGAGAGACTTGCGGAAGCTAAGCAAGTGAAGGTGGAGAGTGGGGTTGGAGGGATCGATGGAATGGGCGGCCGCAAGGCACTTGACGGCAAGGAGGTGCTTGTCTACACTTGAATTAGCATGAGTGTTCCGTCTAGGAATCTACCAAATTAACTCACTCTGTCTGGAGTAGACCTCAAAGCCGACGCACTGGGCTTCGATGTTCTGGGGGCTGCACTCAAGCAACGGTGTCAAGAACTTCATGGCATCCTTCAGAGGATCCTGGGTCTGGACCAGGGTGTTGCCCAGAGGATCGGAATCTTCCTTCTTAGTCTCTCCATCAGTGCTCTTGGCAGTAGCGGCAGCCGCTTTCCTTGCTGCGCGCTTGTCAGACTCAATCTTTTCCAAGCGCTGCTGCTCCTTTTTGGCCTTCTTGAGAGCCTTCTTTCTCTGGTTCTCATCGGTAGAATCAAGTCCATTGCTTCCGCTGGGCATCGGTCCGTGCACGAGATCCGGCTGGTCGTGGAGAAGTAGATGGGTCTTGACAGCTCCGATGGCCATTCTTGTGTAGAAGGGGTGCTCACGCAGGCGGTCTTCCCATCGCACCATGTCCACGTAAGCCCTGATCATTCCCTTTCGAAGTGAGAAGCCGTGGAAGTCAAACTGATCCTCCTGCCAGGTATCAAAGATGTTATAAACCGAGTGGAAGCGCTTTAGAGCAAGACCAATCTTCTTCTGTCGGAGGAACGCCTCGGCATCCTCGGTCAAGAACCAAGTGCACTGCATCTCGTGGAGATCACCCAATGTGCCACCAACAGCCTCGTTACGAGTGAACTTGCTCATAAGTTCCAGGCCCTTTTCGTTATCGTTGTTTCGAAGCACGTATTTGGCCGCCTTGGTGTTGATATGGCGATCCTTCTCATCTAGCAGTCGAGCCTTCTCCATCTCTTCTGCTGCCTTCTCTGGGTTTCCGTAGTGCTTCCAAATCCGTGCCTTGGACATCTGGTATTCCACGGCCTTTGGGGACAATTCGATGGCCTTCTCAACGTACTCCATGGCCTTGGGGAGGTTGCGGCTGAGATGATAGTTGTAGTGTTGAGCCAGGAAGTAGTATGTGCATGACAGGAACTCGTTGTTGTCCCCGTTCGACTCCGCGGAGCCATTTGATACTTTCTCAGAGAGGTATCCCTCAACTAATTCTTGTACCACGTCACGCTTGGTCGGGTCAATGTAAAGCTGCTTGATGTTCACGAATAAGGAAGGAACACCCTTCTTCAGGCCGCGCTGCAGATAGGCGTCAACAGCCTGCTTGAAATCCTCCCCTTCTAAGAAATCGAGAGGAATGCGACGAGCAGCATCACAGCGGGGGTTTTTCTCCACCCACTCATCGTATAGAGCCTTCAATGCCTTGTGGTCGCTTTCGGGGATAGCCTTTGCCTTGATCAAGCCATTGTAGTAGATCGAGTTGTCTGGGTTGCGCTCCAGAAGAGCTGCATACGCGGCCTCCGCCTCGGCCTTGCGGTCCAGTCGCAAAAGATAATCTGCCTTCATCTCCATGACAGCGAGCACATCAAGGCATCGATATCCAACAGCCTCGAGGTGCTCTAGAGCTCTCTCGAGGTTTCCAGATTCCGCAATGATAGTATTCTTGTACAAGATGGCTTCAGAGTTCTCCATATCGGCGACATGTGGTATGGCACCCTTCAATGTCTCTTCGTAGGTAGTCAGAACCTTCTCGGCCTCTGCCAAATCTCCAGCCAAGTGATGAGCGATCGCGAGCGCCGTCCAGTTCTGGCGGAAGCCTGGACGGGTCTGCAGCATCGCACTGCGGCTCCGGATGTATCCCTGGTAATCCCGCATCTGCATCTGGAGCAGTGCCAGATCGCGCTGAATAGGTTGGGATTCAGGCTCAAGGCGCAGAGCAAATCGGTATGCTTTGATTGCCTCCTCGTAGTTCTTCTCCTGGCGTAATAGCAACCCATACACGTGCCAGGTGATATGCGACTTCATATCATTCTGGAGAGCCTTCTTGGCGAGCGCAAAGGCCTCCTCCAATTGCCCTATCTGACTCATGTTAAGAGCCTTCATGGCTTGCGTATCACCATGTTTGGGGTTTTTGCGAAGAATTTGGTCTGCTGTCTTGATGCCTGTGAAGTAAAATGTGGTTAGACAGGCCTAGGTAGTTCGAGATCACTCCAGAGGCCAACCTTTCTTATACTGTTTCATCTCAAAGTGGTGAACCACTTGACGAAACAAGGAATGGTCCTTAGTGCTCAATGTTTCCGGCATTGTGGGCGATGCTGACGTCGAGGGACCTGACTTGTGCGAGTAAGGAATCGATGTGTGCGGGGGACGACTTCTCCGAGTCCGATCTTGGCAGAGCTATTAGGCCGATAAGATAGCGTGCACCATCCAACTTTCCAAGCTTCTTCGGACGACAGTAGGTTGACAAGTGAAAATTGGGGGTTTAAAACCAGATTCAAATAGAGAACTCCATTGGATTTCCACCTGTACTCAGGTATGTTCCCATGAAGGCGGTATAGGGTGTGAAAATGCATATCTCGTGATGCACACGTGGTTTGTTGTGTACATATAATGTAACTTCTTCTTTTTTGAATAAGAGGATAGCAAGACACATAATGCACTCATCTCTATATATGGAAGTATGAAAGGATTTCTCACTTACTCTGAAAATCTGAACACTCATCATAGTCTATGGGATAGGCCGCTTCTCTTGGCATACCCGGACTATGTATGATATCATTCGCATTTTTTCTATCCAAAATCCGAAAATAACCTGCTCTATTGCCAGGCAGAGCGAGAATGAGAAACTTCAACAAGTATCATATCAGGACTGTTCAAAGATATACAATTTGGGGTGAAGTATCCCCGATTCTAAGAGTTGAGTTATACAGTGATTCTAGTGTACTGCAGCACGCCCCTGCCCAAGGGGTTATTTCCGATGTGAATGGCGCCAGCTGTTGAGAGCTTCTTCCCAATTAGAAGTGACACTGCATTTTTCCGACACCATCCCCCACGTTCGGGCCCGAATGATCTCTTCAATGGTACGCTCATTGCGAATCAAGTTGGCCAATGACTCAGTGCGTGCTTCACGCGGAAAGAAGCGAGCTGAATACGGGTCCAAACGTTCATCTACTTCTCGTTCCCGGTCTCGGGCTGATTCTGTTTGCCGAAGAATCAAGTCGGGATCGTCGGGATCTGGACTCGTAGCCACACCAGCGCAATAAGCGAGAACGTCTGATCTCGTTTGCCATGACGGAAATAACACATTATCTTTGAAGCTCTGACAGGCTGCAGGGTTGATCTGAGATCTAATTTCGGCTTGTCGCACCGCCGTCGATGATGGGTCAAATCCTTCTTGAGCTGGTGTAATCAACGCGTTCAAGTTCTGCGTAATCGAGTCATCGATGGTAGATCTTGAGAGTCGCAAAAAGTCTGAACAAAAATGGAAAAGTCAATCCAAGCTGGTAACAACATGTCACATCCCAAACGAACCTCGTAGTAGTCGCTCGTCAAAACAAAACCGAGGCGTCAGCGCCGGAGCTGCTGTTGATGAGGCCTGTGTCATCCTCCCACGAAGTTCCTCCTCTGCTTCTCGATTTGATTTGATCCAGAACAACTCCAGTTTGTACTGAGGAAATGCGGAACTTTATTGATGGGCGTCGTCCAACGGTATTGTATAGCGTAATGTAGATGGTCGTTATATTCGAGTATATTTCAATGAGACCCAGTATGATTTGCTATGAGCACAAGTAACAGACAGATAATTGTTGTGACATTCATGGATAGTACGAGCAAGCTCTCCTTCAGGCAGACCACCGTCGTCATGCCGTAATCAGCCTTGAGCTCTCGGCTGTTTTGGGACTAGCTCGTTCAATTACATTCACGTGACAGCGCGTATCCGCGTTCCAGGAGCATCGCGTCCCTGCTTATGCCAGACCGTCTTTCGGAGAAAAAGCACTTGTATATACCCTCGTCTTCATTAATTGCTTGTTTTTCACATTCATATTCGCATATCAACATGCCTGAGCTAGCAGAGGTCCACCGCATTGTGCATTTCATTCGTGAGCACTTGGTTGGGAAAACGCTGGCCAAAGTACAAGCGCAACACGATGATATCGTATTTGGCAAAGTTGGCACAAGCGCCGCCGAATTTCAAAAGACAATGCAAGGGAAGAAGGTCGTGGGAGCAGGCCAACAAGGAAAATATTTCTGGATCGCAATGTCTTCACCGCCACACGCTGTGATGCACTTTGGGATGGCTGGTTGGTTGAAGATCAAGGATGCCGACACATATTACTATCGAACCGACAAGCCTGCAGATCAGGAGTGGCCCCCTAAATATTGGAAGTTCTTGCTGGAGACAAGTGACGAGCCGAAAACAGAGGCCGCATTTGTGGATGCCCGCAGGCTTAGTCGCATTAGACTGGTGGATTGCCCCGCTGATGATATCCGAAACCACACTCCGCTCAAAGAAAATGGGCCTGACCCAGTCGCCGATAAAGACATTGTGGACGAAGCTTGGTTGGCAGAGAAGCTGGGAAAGAAGAAAGTGCCGATTAAGGCTCTTCTGCTCGACCAGGCGAACATCAGTGGAATTGGAAATTGGATGGGGTACGTCTTTAAGACAGACTGTATCCATGAAACATACAGAAGCTGATAATTTCTTAGCGATGAGATTCTCTACCATGCTAAGATACACCCAGAGCAATACAGCAACACCTTGAATGACGATCAAATCAAGGCACTACACTCTGCCATTCATTATGTCTGCTCCACATCTATTGCTGTGCTGGCAGACTCAGAGAAGTTCCCCGAACATTGGCTTTTCAAGCACCGCTGGGGCAAGGGGAAGAAGAACCAGCCCGCCGCCTTACCCAATGGAGATAAGATCACATTTCTTACTGTTGGAGGTCGAACAAGTGCCGTTGTTCCAGCCGTCCAGAAGAAGACTGGTCCTGTCGCCAAAGAAATTGACGAAGCTACAAAATCCACACCAGCTAATTCGAAACGGAAACGTGCGGCTCTGAAGAAAGAAAGCGACTCCGAGACGGAAGAAACACCAGAGACAAAGAAGCGAGAGACCCCAAAACAGAGCAAACCCTCTGTAAAGAGTGAGTACTTCAAAGAGGAAAAGGCAAAGCCTGCTGTTGTTGGTAGAAGACGATCTACCCGTACATCTAAGTGAGGTGTATATGAACCCCAAATACTAGCGGTTGTATCTGAAACTAGAATGGTTCTGTACTTTCTATGTCAGCAGTCTCCTTTCAGTATCACCGACCTTCATGAAATCGATGCAGTATCTATATTTCGTAACGTACAACTAATGAGTTTAGACAGCTCATCTCAAAAGTGGAGAAAACCAGAGGTTAAATATACATGGACGAGTCGTTTGGGACATTTTAAGCTGTTTCTATTGCATATTTTCTGTATTATGCGGCGAAATTTCTTATCCTTACGACTGTAGCACTAGAAAGAGAGAGAAAATGTATAGAAGAACACCCCTAAAGAAATTTCTGACAAGACCATGGGAAAGGTTACCAAAAAAGACCTGAGAGCATAAGCGGCCGACTACCCTTGCCTTTATGAATCGAACAAAAAGCAGTGTCGAGTTTTGAAACATTACTCGCGTTGGTCTTGAGATGGTGTTTGTTTCACTGACAGGCCAGCCTTCTCCTGAAGAAATCTTAAGATATCTTCTATTTCGTCTTCGCGATACCAATGTCCCAGTTTCTCATATGCCTTCCAAGTTACATCCATCCCAAAACCGGCTGAAAGGACATGAGACATCCTTCTTCCGAGTTCAACGCGAACTTTTAGGTCTTCGGAGCCGTGGCCAATAAATACAGGCACCTGGAGATGATGGAAGCTTGATTTCGGCTGTGGTTCCTCTGATGAGATCATTGGAAGATCAAGAATATCCCGAATATGGCCGATAGCGTGAACAAGCAGTGAGGCTTCGTCCTCATCGTCAGAAAAGGGATTAAAGTCATCGTGCGAAAAGCTGCTTCTTTCAAATTGATCGTCATCAAAGTCAGGTTCCGAGAAGGCATCTGCATCTGCGTCTGACCCCTCGTCACCTTCGAAATGTTTCCTAGCCACCTCTTCACCCTCTGAGTTCAAGTCCAAGATATCATTGAATCGATTTTCCTGGCTGTCTCTAGTTGACGCAGGAATCTCGCCGCATTGGAGAATCTCGTGCAGCTGCTGCTCAAAGGGCAGCCATCCACTCATCCCAACAAATGCTCCTATCATACTTATCTCGCGGGCGTCGAGCCAGCCACCTAGTAGAGTGAATATACCCGCAGCACAACCTTGACTTAGTCCCCAGAGTATAATCTTTTGATGGCTGTCCGCACCCAAGATTCGGACCTCTTCACCGATCAAACCACGAATAAATTCGGCAGTCTCACAGAGACCTTCAACTTGTAAGTCTATTCTCTCTCCCGGGTCCTCAATCGAGTAGTTGTCAAACCACTGATTGATGGCCATCTTTTTGAACCTCGTTGCCCGCCGCTTACTCGCCGTTGGAAAGACGAATTTCACTGTGGGAAGTAGAGCTTGCAGGTTCGTAGCGGCAAGAAGGACATGGCCGAAGCGTTTAGCATTACTGCCTTTTCCATGGAGTAAGATAAACGTGTGAGTATGTTCATCGCCTAGCGGTGGGAACACTAGAGGGTTGGGGTATGCATTTTGAGGCATTTTGGCGGCTTTGGGAAAGACAACTGGTAGGAAAAGTTCAAGAAGAGAAATTACCGCACAGACTTCAGCCATGTTTGTAAGATGATTGCCAAGGATAGATTTCGAAATTTCTTTGTAGCTGTTTTTTGTATTTTGGTAATACGAATAACCATCCATGCAAGCCCCGGGGTAATCAAATAGCAAATAACCATGTAGATCAGCCATTTATCAATGACTATGTTCACTTCGATGCCAGACAATGGGCTTTATGTCGCATAATCACTAGAGAAAACAATAGAAATATGTATAAAAGCTTTCAATACAAGACCGATTTTTAATGGTCATACTTACTTTCAATCTCAAGCAATGAGCTTTATATCGCATGGTTTTATTGTTCCCCCATAAAGACTTTGTCTGCTTATACGCGAAGAGATGAAATCAGTCAAAAGCCCAACATATAAAGTCACTGGACGGCCCAGCCCTTGAAACACATCATTCTCAAGTCTCATTCGAATCCCAATCAAGAGAATAATTGCGATTCTTGAACCGGCTCGTTCATCTTTCACAACCAAGACTATCAATTCGTCAAAGATGGCTGACTCATGGGACGTCTATGTTGCCTTCTGCCAACGGAGAGGTAAGGCCCCTTTACATTGGATGCTTTTGCTTGCTAACCCTAGATCGCTGCGCTGTACATGGTATCATGTCGTCGGAGGCCCGACGCAGAATCGGGACTACGAGCGCAAGATTCAAGCAGGGAAGAGAATCGACAGTTTTGGCATATCGAAGAAGCAATACATTGGTCAAATTCAGGCACGCGATATCAACAAGGTCAAGTCAGCGGTAGTAGTAGTCCCTGTTCAAGCTTGTCAACGCTGGACGGTAGAAGTGCTCGCCGAGCTTGAGCGCAAATGCCTGATTCCTGTTGGTACTAGTGCTGATTATCATAATCAGATTGAGCCTACTCCCATTGCAGAAATTGAACATGACTGGGTCATGCTCTCAGGGACATCTGAAGAGGAATTGATCATAGAATAAGCCAGTAGCGGCTAGTTGCGTCAGACCAGCAGATGGCCAATGTGAGAATTTCATGATAATAGGAACTTCTCAAGGTAGGTAGGTAGGTAGGTACGCTGGTATGTTTCTTTATCACACTATTTCATCTCCACACTTTTGTGCTCAGTTTGGTTCGAAGTTTTATTTGAATTTTATTGATTCCGCGTTGTTTGAAAATGCAAGTTTACTCTCAGGTCCATTGCAAGCAGCTCATAAGAAATGTAGACGTACATTGTCATTAATCACTCTGTCACATGTCTCTCCTAGAAGTGCGAGATAGCAAGAGGGAGTAAAGGAGGCGCCCTGTGCGCGTTCCGGTATAGTGAAAGAGGTCCCTGTGAACTCATCTAAAGGGACTAGCCTATAGTAGCAATTGATAAAGAGCAGCAAGGAAAAAGTCTGCGACAATGGTAGATAAAAAGATTGTATTATAGCTGTAAGACGAGTGAAATATTGTTTTTAAGATAAACCCACCTAAAAGCAATAGCGGGCAGAAGCACAAGTCAAAAAGAAAAGATGTCTGTAAGCCATCTGTGACAGTGCATTAGGTTAAGGTACCAGAAGAGGCCTATATAATATTTACTATTATCAAGCGGAACTACAAGACAGCCTATACATTATGTACGTAGCTATCTAGCTTATGGAGTCTGACACCCTTCAGCAGGCCATTTTCTGAATACACAGATTGATTTGAAGATTCCTGTAGAATCTGCACGTCTATAAAAAGTCTCAAACCTCTCCCTAGTGAGAAATACCGATGAAAAGAATTGAACTTGCCCCGGAAGGCTCATCCTATGTTCAAACCATGCAATGTCTTCTCGAATTTTTCCACATTTTTCTCTGTGGGCCCATCTCTGATTGCAAAATAAACTTGTTCAAACCAACCCCGGAACTCGACTTCCATGAGAACCTCTTTCCAGCAATCGGCCACCACCTGGGAGGGATGGGAAAAGGCCCCACAGCCAAGGGCACCAAGGACCAAGCGCCGGTGATTGTTGCCTGCTGCCGTGCGTAGAATCAATCGCATCTTGTCTTTCATGAGATAAGATTGCCCCGGGTCATTGTAGGTGGATTTGTCGGCGGTCAACTTGGGCCTGCTTCGCGCTGCCATGCTGATAACACTAACATTGGGGTTCCGGTGTAGGTCGTCGGCTGATGACATGAACTTATACCCTCTGTCTACACTCTCTCGAAAAATGATCACATTGGGTGAATAGAGGCACTCCAAATCTCCCATAGGGTAGAGATCTGGTTGGAGAGCCCCGATGAGTGTGCTTCGATAACAAAGCTGTTCCTCCTGGGCCTTGGCACCGTGACGCCAGCCCCCACCAGGAACGTTGGCATTGGCAAAGTTAAGAACACATACAGGCATTTGGTCGGTGTTGCTGCCAGAACAGTCCATGTCGAGAGCTGCGTCATATGTGTCTGCCGGAAAGACCTGAACCTTAGTTTCTATAAAGTTTGGGAAATCCACGGATTCAGGATACAGGGCAGGAGCAGTCCATTTGTTCGCCACATAACTATACCGAGTTCCCTCCAACTCCGTTCTGTCCAAAATTCCTATTATGGCTTCCTCGGTTGCTGCGATCACATTGGACATCACAGGGGTTGGCGAAGGCTTGCTGACTCCACCATGCTTGCTTCCAAGGGGATAAACGCGCCGTTTTTTAGGCAGAGGATCTTTTCGGGCGGGATGCTTCGTTTTAACTTCAGGTGCCGTACGAAGATCAGTCTTTCTAACCTCAGGTGCCGTGCGAAGATCAGGGCTCGCTGCACCATCGAAACTGTCTAATTGGTTGCTGTTGGAGCCGGATGAGAATTTCTCATAAATGGTACTCATCATTCTAGTGAGACCACCACTGCTGCGGCTGTTGGTGCTTGTGGCGGGCGATTGGTTCGCGAACTGAGAACCTATTGATTGTTCGGATTGTGCTGAAACAGACGTATCGGACTGGGCAGGCACCTTCTTCTTAGGCATAGCTTTCTTTTTGTATCGAATGTGGTAGATATGCAGAAGAAACAGTAAGAAAGTTGCTAAATTGATGAAGATGAGACTTACAGGGACTCTTTATGGTCGAAATTTGCTCACCAATTGACTACATGTAAAGCAATACAATTTACCCTACGCAGGACATGAAAGGATAGTAGAGAACAAAGACTCGAGACTCGAACAGCGAGAAGGCGAAGTTGAAAGAAACATCATACGCGTCACGTGCATACTTCTGATCTGACCAATCAGAGAAAGTGTAGCCCGCATAAGGCGGTGAGCTTATCTCCGATCTCGCCACCACCATGACAAAGCGTGCAACGCCGTTGGCTTGCCGCCTTCTTACAGAACTATTTTAATCCTCCAAGGGTTTGGAGGTCTTTGTTCTGATTATTTGCAATCCAATCAGCCAAATATAGGCCAGTTCCTTCACTTCATTCACGGCCGCTCAAAGCATTTCCCACCACAATGAGCGCGATCCTCTCAGCAGACGATCTGAATGATTTCATTTCGCCGGGAGTAGCGTGTATCAAACCAGTTGAAACTCTTCCAAAGAAAGATACAAAAAATCAAGAAGTATGTCCACCTATTGGTCTCGCTGGGACTGCATGATATCAGAGTTTATCTTATTAATTTTCTAATTATAGGGCACCTATGAAGTAACAACAGAAGACAAAGTCGAGCCCGAGGATCTACCCCCCGCAAATATTTCTTTGACAGACTGCCTTGCGTGCTCTGGCTGTGTCACATCTGCCGAAGCAGTGTTGATATCACTTCAGTCTCACGCCGAGGTCCTCAATACACTTGATGCTCATCCAGAGATTCCCATGATGCATGAGCATCATGGGGTGGTAGTCAATAACACTGAGGACTCCGGAGAGGGTAAGATCTTCGTGGCCAGTGTCAGCCCACAAGTCAGGGCAAGCTTGGCAACAACCTACGGCATCACAGAGACAGAAGCGGGGTATATGATCAATCAATTACTCAGTGGTCCACAGGGCTTGCGTAGTGGGGGTAAACACGGTAATGGGTTTACATGGGTTGTCGACACCAATGCTATGCGAGAGGCTGTCCATGTACTCACTGCAGACGAGGTTTCGGACTCTCTTGAGTCAGAGAACTCGTCAACAGCCGGCCAGTCGGATGATTCTCTGCCCAAGCGACCCATTTTATCCTCAGCATGCCCTGGATGGATTTGTTACGCTGAGAAGACTCACCCTTTTATTCTCCCACACCTTTCTCGGCTCAAGTCCCCGCAGGCTCTGTCGGGGACATTCCTGAAAACCGTCTTGAGCAAGTCTCTCGGGGTCCATCCTTCTCGGATTTGGCATTTGGCAGTCATGCCCTGCTTTGACAAGAAGCTAGAAGCTAGTCGGGAAGAACTCACAGATGTATCGTGGCGAAAGGGAGATCTCGCGAGCTCTGAGACACACCCTGTTCGCGACGTAGATTGCGTTATTACTGCTCGTGAGCTCTTGTCTCTAGCTTCGTCTCGAGGATTCTCACTATCAACACTACCTTTACAACCTCTGCCTTCGTCTTTCACTCCGCCCTTCCCCGAAAAAACTCTCGACTCTTTCCTTTCCTTCAAGCGATCTCGGGGGGAACAGTCTCTAGCGACAGGTACCTCTGGAGGCTACCTACATCACGTTCTCGCACATTTCCAAGCTCGCAATCCAGGCAGCGAACTTGTGATCAACCGCGGACGCAATGTCGACGTCGTCGAGTATGTGCTCATGTCTCAAGAGGGCCAACCCATTTTGAAAGCAGCTCGCTATTATGGTTTCCGAAATATCCAAAACCTTGTCCGGAAGCTCAAGCCCGCGCGTGTATCGAGGCTTCCCGGCGCAAAACCAGTCACCAGACCCGCCGCAGGGCGGCGCCAGCCCATGTCTCGCAACGCCGTGTCCACGGGTAGCTCAGGATCAGACTACGCATACGTTGAGGTCATGGCCTGTCCTGGTGGATGCACGAATGGTGGTGGTCAGATCCGAGTCGAGGATGCCAGAGAAGCACTTAATCCTCCCCAAACAGAGGTACTCGACCCATCTATGAAGCCATCGCCCTATGAGCAGCGTGCATGGCTTGCTCGTGTTGACGAGGCTTATTTCTCTATGGAATCTGAGTCCGAGTCTGAAATGGAGACTCAGTCTCAATTGTCTAGATTCGCTGACAAGGAGACTAAAATTCATGAAAATTTGCGGCGCTGGTCAGAATACATGGGCATACCGCTCTCTAAGCTCGTCTACACTACGTACCGCAAGGTGGAAAGTGATGTTGGCAAGGATCAAACACCTGCTAATGATACGAGTCGGGTTGTGGAGCTTGCGGGGAAGATTGGTGGTGGTTGGTAAATTTTGTCGACTTAATTTCGCTCCTGTGAGATCCACCTTTGGAGTGGTGATTTTTGGGCTCTCATCTTTGATTCAGTTGCATAGCGCCGGGATTGATTTTTCTTGCACTTTTCTCAGGGATATACCACGTTTTCATTTTTGAAGTCACAGTTCACGATACCTGAGGTGCTTAATTGCTTTAAGCTTATGACACGATAGATACATAGAAAAAGGGGCTTAGTCCTTTCCAACTTTCAGATACGGTCAATGACATTAATGATGCTATCAAAACATGGATATAGCCAAAGAGCTCCCTATTAGAGTAGGTACTTTTATACTTCTAGATCGGGTCTGTGTGTATGCTGACTAATTCATCAAACGGACCCCGGGCCCATGCGTGACTAAGCACCTAAAATCTCGCGCTACAGAAAGAAAAAGAATTGAAGTATCTCAGCATCAACTAGTTCACACTCCACAACTCTCATCCCTCCCACCGGACACGATCAAATATCGCGCGCAAAGTAATCAATTTACCACTACATCACTCCCAACCCCCAAATAATGTCTCGCGAAGCCTACCAGGTCCCCTCGACGGGCGCCCAGAGCAACTTCGACACCCAAGGCGGAGGTTTCGGCAACGCCATGGCCATGGACAGCCCCTCAGTCACCTATCTATGTGGCGAGTGCTCTGCCCGTGTTCCCCTAAAGCGTGGCGACCAGATTCGCTGCAAGGATTGTGGTCACCGTGTGCTATACAAGGAGCGGACCAAGCGGTAAGATTTTATCTCCTGGGAATTATCATACGATATGTGCAAGGCTTGAGCTGACCTCTGCTTTTTTTGTTCACAATAGTATGGTTCAGTTCCAGGCTCGATAGACGTCTCATCTGTCCAAATACGGAACGGACGTTTGGAGATTGCGATGGCTCAGGCGGAATTAGCCTGGGTTTCCTTGTTTTGAAGTCTTTATCTTTGACGAATTATGCATACAACGGCGCATTGGAGTCGAATCACACAAAATAGTCTTTCTATGGTCTTAGTCTACAAGACCCATGTACGATGTTCTCGCCATGTCCTCTTTAGTCCTAATCCAAATCTGGACCTGTGAGTAGGACAGGCTCTCTTTTTTTCTCCAAAATAATCTCATTTGCTCTTGAAGAACAAGGCACTTACTCGGTTGGACTCAAGAACTGGAAATTTTTTACATCTAAACGTACACTGGTGCACTTTTTGTGCCCATCAGAACAGGTGAAACCATACATATGTCAATCCGAAAGTTCCTTAAACCCGAAATGGCCCCAACATACTAAATCCAGGCCTACAAAACTAATACCACAAGATTCTACTTTAAAGCTGGTTAGTCACTTCGATAAATTGCTCCAAGTTCTTCAAAGACTGCCCGCTCTCGATTGCCCAGCGTGCGCGACGCACGCCTTCCTTCCAGCGCCCACCGCCAGGACCACGTTCGGTGATGACCTTTCCATCATCCTCAGGCCCCATGTTGCTGGTATCAGCCTCGCAAATGCCCGAGGTGACAAGTAGACCCGCCACATTCATGAGAACGAACTCCAAGATGGGGTCATCCCGTGGAAGCTCGTTCCGAAGTATGCTCATTAGCTTTGCTGCGTTTTGCTTGGGCAATTTACCTCCGCCCACATCACTAAGGGGGTGACTGGAGAGGCCGAAGTCCGATGGCTGGAGCTGGAACGTGTCAACCTTGACGAATGTGCGAGGATTTTCGGCATCTTCTTCACTTGAGTCATCTGCATCATCCTCTGAGGCTTTGTATGCAGGGTTCGGGTATTCAGAGAGCCTCCAGCAGTTTGTCTTTCCAGCGCAGCTAATTTCGTCCATGTCCTCTGCGCCACAAACAATCATGGCTTTCTTCGCTCCGCTCTGTCTGAAGGCCTCGGCGAACACTGGACCAAGGCTCTGGTATGCTACACCAACTACGCGTGCTTCCAGTGCCCAGTCAACGGGGTTTGCCAAAGGGCCCATCAGGTTGAAGATCGTTCGGAGGCCAAGACCCCTGCGAACAGGGTTGGAATGCATCATTCCCGGGTGGAAATTCGGGGCGAACAAGAACGAATAGTTGGTCTTCTCGTAAACCTGGGTCAGATTCTCGGCAGTAATGGCTGCGATTTTGGGCGGCACTGGTTGGATGGCATTGAGGACGTCGGCGGCCCCAGAGGTCGATGTTTGAGCGCGGTTTCCATGTTTAGCAGTCATGAGAAGTGGAGATGCGACGATTGAGGAGGTTGTGGAAATGTTAAAGGTCGAATGAGAGTCTCCTCCAGTGCCAACAATATCACACTATATACATCGTGCCTGTCAATAAATAGAACTCGACAACAAGATGAAGTGATTTACATACCAATCCACCCTGATAGTTTCCCGCTTTCAGATTACGAGACTCGATAATTTTCGTAAGCGGTCCTTTCTCAACTTGACAAGCAGCATCTCGCATGCATTGAGAACATTTCGCAATCACGTCTGGCTGTCTATCCTTGCCGGTTGAGTGGAGCAATGTGAGGAGGGCGGCGGTTTGGATATGAGATAGTCGGTCCTCGAATATCAGTGCAAATGCAGAAGCGATCTCTTCTGCACTCACGGCAGGAAGGTCTTGTGCACTGACCCGGATACCAGCAGCCGCGGGGTA